TATTCGACGGAACTGTTTGACACCCCTCTTTTGGGTCTCGCTTTTCGGTCGTCTGGTGTCGGCATCATATCATGTGTATCGGGGGCGTCTGCTTTCCTCTCTTCCTTCCTCTCCTCCTCCTTCTTCTTCTTCTTCTTCTTCTTCTTTTAGGAGAACAGCAAGGCCGGGAAGTGGGAGAGAGGGAGATAATTCCTGCTTTTCTGTCTTTTGTGTTGGAAGGGGAGGACATGGGGACATCTTATGGGTGTACAATGCTGGCAGCGGTGCTGCTCAGTGTTATTACCCGCGCAAAACAAAGGGAAATTCTGTGTCTTGGGGGGGGGGGGGGGAACCTCGGAAATTAGACGACTATTTTGCAATATAATCATGTTATTTTGAAAACGACTTTTGCTTTTGTTTGGCGTGAAAGTATGAAAGTGTGAAAGGGGGATGAGTGGGCTTGTTGTGATGACATGTCGATGTCGATGGTGAAGTGCGTGGGAGGCAGTAAACTTTACTCTAACAATGGGGCATGGTGATTTTCTCAGTTCTACGAACACTACGTTTTGAATATTTGCATCCAGCGCAAAAAAAAGACATAAAAAACATCCCTCAAATTCTACTCTTACAAACCCACAAGTATGCCAGCGTTTCAAGCTGAAAACTCCAAAACACGCCAGATCCCAGATAATCCTACAAAACAATCATTGCCCAAAACCTCGACATGCAAATAAAGACCTTTGCCTAGATAGACTCGCCAGTATCAGCCCTTGGTCTTGCTGCATCGCCCGTAAACGCCCATGCAAGGCCTTCGGTAGGCGTCATTGCCCTTCGTCTCTCTATCGGACTCCAATCCATGCCAGGAGCAGGGAGTCCCGCAATAGCAGCATCGTCTCTAGCTCTCTGTCTGATACTGCCCGCAGCCTGTGTCGCGCCATCATTTGCAGCAGAAGCGTTGGCAGCGGCAGAAGAGTTGTTCAAGCCCTCTGCATCCGTGACTAGTCTTACACCGGCGGTACGCTGGCGCTCTCTTTCTGCGTTCGCACGTTTGCCCTCGGCCTTCTTCTTCTCAAACTCTATAATCAGCGTCTTGAAATAAGTTTCGGCGGCGCTTGTCGCGCTGTAATGTACAGGTGTCCAGCTGTAGCTATTGCTGGCAAGGGGATTCGCTCCGTACTGCAGCAGCATGCGTAGCGCCTTCAGCTCGCCGGCTGCAGAAGCGTGATGCAGTGCTGTGTTGCCCTGGTTGTCGCAAGCAGAAAGAATGTTGGTCCCGTGCACGATCAACGTCGGGATAAGGTGCAAGGTGCCAGACCCTGACTTGCAAGCCAGCATGAGCGCGTCCAGCCCAGCTTTGTTCTTCCAGCCGACGCACTCAGGAAAGCGCTTGGCGAGGTAGACGCCGCATTCTTCTTTGCCTGCCATGGCAGCCAGCATCAGCGGCGTTTCCCAGTCGTTGTTGCGGCTAATCATGCCATCTTCGTGCCCGACGTCAACGAGATACTCGGCAATGGATGTGAAGCCATGCTTTGCGGCCAGGTGCAGCGAAGTGTTGGAACGGTCGTCAAAGTCTGGGTTGCGCAGATAGTTGAGATTGTTGCGGATGATGCGCTTGACCAGCGACAGGTCGTTGAGGAGGATGGCGCGCCGGAGACGACGGGGTACGTCAATCCTGGTCTTGTGTTAGAGGTGGTCGAGGACAGATTTTCATCTCGAGATGATGGCGTGCTGATGGCATTGCTTACATGGCTGGCGCAATCAAGCATGATGCAGTCTCCAGGAGAGCACCAGGGCCGTGTTCGCGTCGTGACGTGAGGTCGAGCCGGTGTGGGGCAGAAGGGTTGGGGATGGGCCGTGGGCGGACTGCGGGGGCTAATTCACGGAGGCTTGCTGCAACGGGCTAGCACTCGCGCCGATGTGCGCCATGGATCCCTTCTACTACATCAGCGACGGTGTGCATTCAAGTCTCTTCTATTCATGCATCATTGACATGTTGATCTAACTCATGTCTGGAGCGCCCTCAATACCAGTCCGTACATGGCCGCTATCTTACACGCCCCACTGCCAGACCTGGACTGCAACGCTGCCTTACAAGCCCTCAAAGTCGCCAGCCGCATCGTCCTCGTCAATATCGCCATCCTGAATCTCCTTGGCCAACTCGCGTTCTCTCTCTCGCGCCTCCTGGGCGTTCTTGAGTTCCAGGCGATGTTGGTTCATTGGGTACCGCATTGCCTTGACACACTCGTCGTGCAGAGTCAGGCACGCCCGAATGCGCTCGTGGAACGCCTCGCCAGGCTCCCGGGTTGCATAAATGTCTCCGGCTACCTTGGTCTGCATGAAACCCTTCTCGTGGTCAATCGACGCCTCAATCACACCGTCGCGGATCGCCTTTGCGACAATATACTCGGCCGACTCCTCGCTCTCGAGTCCGAGACGGATGCAGATGTCACGGAGCGAGATGCGCGAGTACGAGAGCGACAGCATGCGGATGCCCGTCTTGATGACGTTTTGTCGCAGGCGAAGGATCAGTGTGTAGGTGCCGTCGCGGTGGAAGACGGACGATGACTGCTGCACTACCTTCAGGAAGCCTTGCAAGTCGCCCACACGCACAGCCTGGACCAGGCGGAAGTAGGGCTCCATGGCCCGCTCCAAGCGGGGCTGGCTGAAGACGTCGCGCTCGGGAATGTCACCCATCAGCAGCTCCACAACGCAGAGCAGCTTCATCGAGGCCTGGTAGAAGCCAGTCGCGCAGTGCGCAGATGGCGACTTGCGGGTAGCGCTCGTCAGGTGCTCGTGCGCCTCGGTGTAGGACAGCTGGATAGCCCTTATGCGACCAAGGTAGTACAAGTACCTCGCAACCTGGTTGTTGGGGGCATTGGGCGGGAATTGTGTCTGTGCCACGAGCAGATCGGCTTGTGTGATGTCGGCGGTCGAGAGGTAGTTTCGGAGCAACAGCGTCGTGACAGACGCCTGCGTGTCTGGGTCTTTTCTGAGCACCGCGCTTCGGAGGGCAGCGAGGAGCTTGCCGCGGATGCTGATGACGGGCGACTGCTTCGACGGGGGCTTGGGGTCCATCTCCTCGTGGAAGAGGGAAAAGTAAAAGTAGGCTTTGGCCGCCAGCGAGTCCAGTGTCCGCCTGTTCAGCTCTCGGATCTTGTCCACCAGCTTCTCAGAGAACTCGGCGCCCTCTTCAAATTCCTTTTGGTCGTACAGATAGACCTGTGCCTGTCAGTCGCTGCTCGCTCAACAGCGTGGCAAACATACCTGTATCAAAATGGCTATGTAGACGTCCACCTCGGGCAATGGCTCCTTGGTGCTGTTCTTGTTGAGCTGCACCTCCTCCTTGTACTGGGACACGACGCTCTGTATCGCCTCGCCATCCATGCCGATGTACTCGATGAAAGTTCGGGCCGTGGCGTTGTTGGGCGAGTATGTCAAGATGACGACGGAGCACAGGACGCGGTCGGTGAGCCTCTTGCGGAGAGACGATATCGAGCGGAGCGCGCGCAGCGTGAAGCGGGTATCGAACTGGGCCACGGCGCGCTCCAAGAGGACAAAGTTGCTGCGGATATCTACCGTCGTCGGATCAGCACGCCGGTACAGATACTTGCAGGCCGCAATCTCGGTGGCGATGATGTGGTTCGGACACATCTTGCGGACGGGCCAGGCCGTCGTGCAGTTGGTACAGGGGCATTTGGAGGTAAAGGGCATGGCTGGGCTGCTTACCAGCAATCGTCTTCTGCTCGACGTTCTCGCTTTTGGGCGCCTCGCCCGCCGTGACGACGCCTTCCATGCTGTCCGCCATGATGGTCGCTCTTGAGGGTTGTGCGGATGGATGGAAGGTGCGGGGGGAGTGTCTGGGGGGAGTGAGAGCTGGGGGTTGAGGGCGAGGGTGGGTTGGTGTTGATGGTTGGCTGAGGGTCGAGCTCCCAGCTTCACTGACGCCAGCGCGGAACGTCGGGGAATAGTTATCGAGCACCGAGCGCCCGCCATCCGTTGTTTACGCCCCGCGTCGCCCCAGCATGCCCGCTTGTGGATGCATTGCACACCATGACGCTTCTCGACGCCCACCTCGAGCAGATCTCGCTGTGCTCGGCGTCTATTGCTGAGCTGCCGTATGTCCGTCGCCCTTTCACCACGCCCCCCGACTGAACACGTCCCAGATTCGCCCCGCCAAAGATCTTCACCAACGCGTTGCTGCAGAACCATGATATCACCAGCCTGATTCGGGACACGGAGCTGCACGAGCGAGCTCTCTTCTCTGTCCCGCCACCCCCAGCAGCCACCAAGCATACAGAGCCAGCGCCATCGGCAAACAGACGCAACACCATATTCAACCCCAATGGAGGTGCTGGCACCAGCATATCCGGCGGCGGTGCCAATGCTGTAAGAGCACCTAGACGTAACACGGCTGTCGCCGCTGTTCTGGGCAATGAACTGGTAGAGAGGATACGGAGAGGTGGTGGCGGGGGTGCTGGTTCAGGCTTGGGCTACAGAATGTACAACCCCAACAACAAGAACGAAGTAGACGTTGAATCGCTACTGGAAGGAGCCGAGAAGCTGCTTGGAGTCTAGTGGGTCAAGTCAAGCGGCAGCAATAGCAATCTGCTAACAAGGAACAGCCCGATACCAGGCGTGGCCGACAAGATCGCAGCCTTGCGCCAACGATATGCCCAGGTCGCTGCATCGGTAGACTACTACGAGGAGCGGCTAGCTGAGCAGCAGGTCCAGCTTGGCAAACTGAACCGCTCGCGCGAAGACTACATGGACGAAGATGACGAGGTCCAAGACGAACCCGAGCCAGTTGCGCCCCTGACCGAGGAAGACCTGCGACGCGAGGAAGAAGAGACGCGCCAACTCGAGAAGAAGAAGAAGGAGCTCGAAGCCCGGGTCCATTCCATGTCGAGAGATATTTCAGGTCTGCGATAATTTGCCAGCCTTACGATAAGCACCTAGACCCAAGAGTTCAATAAGATACCCCATTTCTTTCGCCCCGAAAAGCCTTGGTATTCGCACGGATAGATTGGCACTTCCAGTTCGGGCGGGGTAACCGCCTTACCCACGATGAAATGCTCGCAACGTTGGTGGCCTAATGCTGACCGCATTAGCCTATCAGAAGTGTGGATACCTTACAAGAACTGACGCATAAAGGCTCGAAAGACCAGTCGCGAGGGTTCTTGGGAAAGCAGTTTGTGATCAGACAGTACAACTACCACCATGATCGACTTTTCCCTCACACCTGAGCAAAAAGAGCTCCGGGCTAATGCCCAGGCCTTTGCCCAAAACGTACTATCCACAGCACCGTCTCTCTACTCAAACCTCACCACACAGACGGAACGATTTCAGGCCACCCTGCCTATCTACCAAAGCGCCGTCTCCGCCGGCATCATCAAAGGGCAAATTCCCGTGCCTCTAGGGGGCACCTCTACTGGACTCATTGACGCCGCCCTCGTAATTGAAGAACTCCACGCCGTAGAGCCAAGTACCGCCATCACCATCTTGGGCACCGGGCTAGGCCTTACGCCTCTAATCTTAGCCGGCAGCAAAGAGCAACACGAAAAATTCCTCACGCCATTCCTAGAACAATCTGGAGAAAGACTTGCCAGCTTCGTGCACAGCGAGCCCCAAGGGACCGCCAATTGGCTTGAAAAGGGGGCTCCAGGTTTGCAAACTACAGCGTACATGGAAGGCGATGAATGGGTGATTAACGGAGAGAAGGTATGTTTGAATCGCCTATCTAATACTTGTTCACACTGCCCCTAACCACCAATACTTCTATCCAACATTCTGCACATCCTCACAATAGCCCTCTAGCTCTGGACCACCAACTCAGGCGGCTGGGACCAACGCGGCGCCGACCTCCAATGCATCGTATGTCGGCATAGCCAACCCAACGTTCCTCAAGACGCAGCATGCGACCCCGTCTCCAACATCCTAATCCTGCTCGTGACCCGCGCCGACATTGCCAACAACACCCCTGACGCCTACCGCGTGCTCAGCGACCCGGAACTCGGCGGCCACAAATCCGTCAACGGCCCGCACTCGCGCTTCACGCAGTTCAAAGTCCCCGCTGCGAATCTTCTCGCGGAGCCCGGGACTGGCGCGCAGGTCGTGGAACAGACATTTGGCATGTCCGCGGCCATTGTAGGCGCAATGTGCATTGGCGTTATGCGGCACGCCTTTGAAGCCGCGCTGGCGTTCTGCAAAAACGAGTTTCGAGGCGGAAAAGTAGCAGTGTTGCAGCACCAGAGCGTGAGCGATCGCCTCATCGATGCGAAGATGAAGATTGAGGCCGCGCGCGCGCTGACATGGAAGGCGATGAGTGTGCTCGAGAGCAAAGAAAGCGTGCCGTGGGAACAGAGATTGGAAATCGCGCTTGAGGCCAAGATTTGGTGTACCGAGCAGGTGACCAAGGTGGTGCTGGAGTGTATGAGTGTTGTGGGAATGTAAGTTCTTTTTCTCTTGTTTCTTCATGGGCTTATTGACGAGATTCTTCCGTTTGGGACAGGGACTAACACTGGATTGTCTAGGAAATCGTATGCGACCGATATGCCGTTTTCAAAGCTACTCGAGGATGCGGCGTGTCTTCCGCTTTTTGATGGAGGAAATGTCGGGGTCAGGAGACGGCAGCTTGATAAGATCTTTCAGCAGGATGGCTATCAGCCTTGGGGCGCGACGTATCCGGCCTAATCGCAAAGACGGCGGATATCCATGTTGTGGAAGTTTGTTGGAGCTTTATTACGATTGGATGCGTGCTCACGCGAACGAAATCTTCCGAATGGACTATCACCTCTTTTCCGGCCATGTTATGGAGCGTATGAAATTTGGATTCAATGTGAGTATGAATGATGCCGGAGATGCTTGATTTAGATATCATAATGTAGCGCAGGTCTCTCAATAGCACAATGCTGCTCAACATCAAACGTTCCACCGTGTCTATTTCTTTTGACCTGTTTCGTATCACGTCGTATTTCCAGCCTTAGCACACGATCTGCGTTGCTAAAGGGATTTCTTAACGTATTCCACAGGGCCATTGTACTTGCTCCTGCCGTAAAGGAAGTAATAAACCGAAGAAAAGACAACCATGCAACCGAACATGACAGGAGACCAGTTCATCTCTACCACCGAAGGGTTCGGTATTTCGGGGAAGGCGAGGAAGACCAGAGCGAGCATCGTGTAGAGGATAGCACAAGCGTTGATGACGATGCCGCATTTTCCGAGATCGAAGCGAGAAGGAAGAAGAGGTTCTCCGAGCAGCCGCTTCCGGAGCATACAGGAAATACAAATAATGTCGGAAATACAGCCGCTGAGTCCGCCCAGGGCTATGATGATGTTGAAGGCGATTGGCGAGCCGATGATGATGAGACAGATAAGTGACGAGGATGCAAACGTGAAAATCACAGAATTGACGGGAATGTCCCAGCCTTCGGGGACCTATTGAATATGTTAGTTGGAGTTACAAAGAAAGGAGAGGATGCCGTACGTGGGCGAGCCAACCTGAGCATGGGAGTCCGTCGTCGCGAGCAAAGGACCAGAGTTGGCGCGAAGCGGCAGTCAATTGATTAATGCAACAAAACAGAAGCATTATACAGACTGCCACTGTCATGATGTTTGTAGCTACCTTTGACCCGGTCGCATTCATCAAGATCTGGATCCAGGGCTGGCCAAGTGGAGTGTTGAGGATGGAATCAAGATCGCTGCCCAGCGTACAGAAGATGGTGACGGTCATGGTGAAGCCTAACACATAGTTGACCAGGGAGGTAGCCACCATGGCTCTTGGAGAAGTGTAGGCGGCATCTTTCACTTCCTCGGCGAGATGGACGGCCAGGTCGGATCCGCCGATGGTAAGTATGGGACCAAGAAGGCCGACAAGGATAGCAAGGCCTCTATTACCCCATCCACTGGGGTCTTCGAACTTGGTGAATGTGTCCTTGACATCGGAGCGCGGACCCATGACCCAGAGTACAACGATGAAGGCGAAGAAACCGAAGACATGGAGGACAAGCGCGACGCCTTCCATCAGTGGAAGTTTCTTGATAAGGAGCGTGTTCCACACGATTGAGAGCACAATGATGGAGATGGCCATCAGAGTGCCATGCCAGCCTTTGATCACGTACGAGGGGTTGTTCAACGCAATGAGACCTTGGATCTGCTGGGTGACGGCATAGGCAGTACCAGCCGTGCCTACTTGCCACGCCGTGACAATCAGCCAACCTAATTCGCCTAATCAGCATTGCGTACCCGGTTCCAGAACGGCACGTGGCATACCAACGACGTAACTGACAAGTCTTTGTTTCGATTTTGGCGCCAGTTCGGAAACCCAATGGTATTGCCCGCCCGCTGTAGGCATCCTGCAGATGTTCGTTAACTGTGGCCCTATCGGTATGGGTGCTCCTGTTGCTCACATCGACACCATCTCACCGAACGAGAGCGTAACGCAAAACATGCCGCAACAGACGACCACGAGCATCCAGATGCCGCCAGCAGGGCCGCCATTGAAGAGAGAAATGCCGATACCGCTTGAGTACATGTCAGTGTCCTTCTGGTATTCGCCGATCATTGGGTTGGCAACGTACATCAATGCGTATTCCCATGTGCTGCCGAGAACCACACCAAAGCCGAAGATTGTGAGAAATCTAAATTGACGCTGATAGGCTGTCAGCTTCTTGTCTTCTTACCGGACAGCTTGTTCGAGCGTACCCTAAGAACTTGGAGCTTTCCCATACGATCCATGTCCACTTCATCGCCGTGTGTGCCTTGTTTTTCCGTCACGGCAATCGCATTTGCTAGCTCGAGGCTATTGTGCGAACGGGCCGTTTCTGACGGACCCTTCATCATGTCTTCCATGGCTGCTGAGAGAAGGGCACCAAGCACACAAACGAAAAGATGTGAACGGCGACCAAAGAAGAATCGGTTTGGCAAGGCCACTTCGCGTCCATGGTACCAAGACCTTTATTAAACACCGTCAAAACTTCCTCCTCCCTTGCAAGAGACAGTGAATCCTGACTGGGTGCTCCCGAGGAGTTGCACTGAGCCGGTGGAACGTGCCGATGCCGTCTGAGTCGGAAGCAGAAATTCAGAACATGATTGGCGTAAACTGTTGAGGAGGATCGAGGCAGCATGAAAAAGAGCAGGGCCCTGATTGTCCCACAAATGCTTTTTGCTGTGCCATAGTGAAGTGGGACTTGCTGGATGCAGCTTGGTCTGGTGGTCGACTGTGCCTCACTGGCGCATCGGGAAGACGACTATCTGGGCAACTGCACATATGATCGCTGCCCGTTTGAATTGATACGAAGACATCCATGTGGAGCTAACCGACGAAAAGGCCCGTTGATTGTGCAAAGTCGAGGGGTAAAGAGAATGGCGCGATAGCTGTGGGATATGCCAAAGTCAGGGGCGTAACAGATGCCGGAACTCCCACAACGTACAATCAGCGTCGAGCACCAGGCTCCACCAAGCTGTCAAGCGGGAACGCAAAGCACATGGAGAGCGGGTGGCGCGGGCGGCTCGTTGGCGGCCGTGTGGCGAGGAATTAAGCAAGGGGGTTGAGTTAGCGCAGAGGCCGCCTAGGCGAGGCGGGATAAGGCCAGCCGAATCGGCGTGGGGATAAGTCCTCGAATCATCAGACCATTGCCTTTGCTCAGCGATTAAGAGCGTCCGCGGAGTCATGCCAGGCCCAGAACGAGATACCCGCCGCCAATCTTCTCGGTACGATGCTTCCAGGACCGACTCTGGCACTGTTACCGAACACATTTATCCGGTCCACTTCTTCCACCCGCCTCTGATAATGTGGCACAGCCAGGCTCTCATTAATGCAAACCAAGGGTCTAGGACTCGAATTCTACGCAGATTCACAGCAAACTACGCTTTGGACAAATGGCTTTGGAAGAACAAGAGAAAACCATAGCAGGACGAGTCAGCGCCGTGTTTGGGGTTTATCACGACATGCACAACTTGTGCGCAAGGGGCGTCTCCAAGGAGTAATTTCTCGGATCAGCAAGCCTGGTCGGAGACGTCAGTTGGATCTCGCAACTCCCAGGGTCTCTCGTCCTATAATTCGCAATTTCCAGTGTGATGGAATGATATCTGTGGCACAGCTCACGTCTCTCACATGCGTCTGTGCCTCGTCCTTCCTATGCTCTGGTACCATGTACCGAGTAAAAAGTACTCGGTGCCGTTTCTCGACGGTTTGAAAAACCCCCACTCGCCCGTCTCCACTCTGCTGAACGTACAGCATGGCATTTTCACACATCTCCCGACTTCTGGGCAGAGAATCGGACTATCGCTTCTCTCGCGTTACCGCAAACGACCATAGCGCTGGACTTTGGATTACCACAATACTATCGATTATTTACGCCCTTTTGGTTTTTGCAGTGCGTATTGGATACACGAAGCGGAGGGCCCATGCTATTGATGATGTTGTGGCTGCTTTAGCGCATGTACGAAATTCCGTGCTTCTCTCGGTCCTCGATACAGCCTAGCTCATTGTACTACAGATTATAGGCCTGGGGATGTGGGGAGTTTTGTTCAAATCTTTGGGGAATGGCCTTGGGAAATCATATCGGGTCCTCGACGATGCAGAAATCTCCCAAGTACAGAAGGTTAGGGGACATGTTGGATATTTGTAATAGCACAGGCTGACGGTGCTATCAGTCCTTCTTTGCAAGCCGCATCTTGCTCTACATCGCACTCACCCTGTCGAAAGGCTCGATTCTTATTCTCATTCCCACTGTTTTCTCGCGAAACACGGCGATCTCGTACATAGCAAATGGCACTGCGGCCATGCTCGCCGTATGGTGCTTGATTGGAGTCATTGCAACCCCAGTCGTTTGCTCAACTGAAGTCATCATACCAAAACCTGGTATCGGCCATTGTACCAATTTTGTGAGTCGTATATTTCCATTTTCTACCAAAACCTTATGATTGCCCCGGTCTATATCGGAATCAGCACCTGTGGAATCCTGGAAACTTGGCATAGAAGCCCGTAATGCATTTCTCTATAGTACGCGCACTGACAATGCAGATTCCATGGCTCCAAGTCCTTACCGTTGGCGATATCGTTACAGAAGTAGTCATAATAATGTTGCCCATGGTCGGGTTGTACAAGACGTTTATGAACTTTGCCGACAAAGCTACCGTCATGCTGGCCTTTTCTACCAGAATACCGTACGTCAGCAGCCATGCGAGTGATTTTACAGCAGTCACTGATGCCGCAGTGCCGCAGGAATATCGCATTTTCCCTCATGTATCTATTTGCGTATTCCGAATTCGTCAACAACGCGTATCCAGCTATCAAAATCGTGGCAACAGTCAGTTGGCAAAGCGTTCTTTTATCGTATAACCTCATGTCGGCCACAACACCCCTGCTCAAGGGATTTACGGCGGGCTTGACGAGCTCAGGTCTGTCCTTGGACTATGCTCGAGACCCCACGACGGGCGGTTTCACCGGAGTGCAAGGGAGCTTTGAGCTGGCCTCGATTGCACAATCGAGATCGAGGTCAAAATCAAGAGCTCCGATTCGTGAAGCGGCATCGCAAGCCCAGAATGCGCCGTTTCAAGAGGATCCGGAGCTCAGGGCCAAGATGACGGAACACAAATCAAAACAAGGAACAAAATGCTTCCACGATGAGAGCGCATCCATGGCCAGCCACGACTCTCGTCAAATAATGATCAAGCAGGACTGGGAGATTTCAGAAAATTACGAATAGCGGCATGCAAGATATCCAGCAGAAACGAAAAACGAAATGGAGTTTTGAGGGTTACATCATGTTATTTTCTTAGTTTTATAATATCTGAACAAGCAGCCATTGAAGAGCTACAGCATTATGAATTCACTTCCAAATGCTTGTCTCCCAGACCTCCTGGAGGAGCTCGACAGCGCTATCTGGCGCGGCTCCAAAATCTCGAATAAAACCTGCGACATTCCACCGGAATTGAACCAGATTTTGAAGATTGTACCGTGGGCAGCATTCGAGAGCTTCACGAACAACTGCACGAGACACGTGAGCCACTTGTCCGTACTCCTGTAACTCGGGTCTTCCAGCAATTCAATGGCGTCAATGATGATTATGACGACGGCGTGCTTGGTGGAACGCAAGAGGGCCTCGAGGATCTCAAAAGCCAGCGGAAAGGTGCTCAACGTCCCGTCCAGCTCCTTCCAGCAGACATCCTGCACCGATGCGCTGCCTGGCTCTATGGTAGGTGGCAGAATCTCGATCAGTTGGCGTATCAGGCTGTACACCAGAGCCACGAGCTCGATCGTCTCTCGCGTGCGGCCAGGAGGCGGCGCTGTGTTTTTGAGTGAGCAGGAATACGAGCACATGGGCAGACCGGCTTGACGGATAACAGTCGCGTATTGGCCGACGGCACTCGAGCTGTACGCGTTGTCTTCAAAAGGGTCCGTCCCAGAGGTATAAAGAATTTGGGAATCAGTCGCTACAACCCATGAGCGTATCCGATCTGCTACATCCGCATCTGCAAATGCCGCATGGCCCTCGGAAGACCCGGGTATTGTGAGTTTGGCGCGGTCGAAGTAGTCTTCCAGTTGAGCTGAGCTTAATAATACGGCATCTCGCGTGGTTTGGGAAGCAGGGGCAATCTCATAGTCTCTTTCTGTTGCTTTGCGCGACACGAGCCCTCGGCCGAGCACACGCATTTCGCCATTTTGTGCCTTGGAAGCATTGCCCAAGTCCTCGGGCCAAGAGAGTTGTCTTCGGGCGTCCTCTTCCAGGATGCCTCTGACTGCCGATCCCATATCCTGGCGTCTCATCTTACTCCAAGTTTCCATGAGTATGTGACTCAGAAACTGCTTGTCCTGGAGTTCGTTTCTCCGCTTTTCCTCGAGCGCTTCGTGAAAGCGCTCGTAGCGTCGGTCCAAAATGCCACGCTGAGCGGCATCCCTCTCCCGGAGCTCGTTCATGAATCTATCAAACTTGCCGTCCATTTCTTCCAGATAGAGTCTGTTGATCTGCGCGTCTGCTTGCGCCCGAAAATCCGCTTCGTCATGCACTAGCTTTGCCAGTTTCCGTATTTCCTCTACTTGGTCGTCGAAGAACTCGAGAAGGTGCTCGTTGAAGCTACTCAGGGCGCGTTGTATCGATCTTTTGGTGTACCAGTTGATGACCTCTCCGAGAAACGAAAATATCTGGCTGTAGATGCGCCACATGTAGCTTTTCATGGTATTGTTCTCGAACAGCCATGAACGCTTCTCTATTGCGGCAACGGCATCGTTTATTTCGACCAGTGCTTTGGGTAAAGCCTCCATGACTTTGGTGTAGCCTTCCGAGGCCTATTCCGTTGTCAGTCCATGTTTGCCGGCGGCAGTCCTTTTACTGAGCATAACAAACCTGCAGCACGGTGGCGAGCGCCCCATAAAAGACCGAGACGTAGTCATTGCTGGATGGCAGCATTTTCAGGGCCGTAGAGTGTGATTTGATAGTGTTGCAAAATGTGCGAAGGTGTTTAGTAACACGGCGAAACGTTCCTTTCTCTTGTTTGTGTTCCAGGCGGACCATCAAATCCTCGACTATCATTGTGACATCCTCGCGAGTCTCTATTTTTCTAGAAAGCACGCCCCCAGGTTGAGATTTCTGGACACGCGCAACAAACTCGTGCATGGAAAGCTGCAGCGAATTTCTGAGTTGATTGAGTTTCTCAAGCTCGTGCGGCCTACATGCATCTGGTCAGCGGTGGCAGTCACACTTCTGCTCCTCGTGCATTATCGTACCTGGTAGAATTGAGATATTCATTGATTTCTCGAATACGCTTTTTCTGCTGACTCTCCTCATCCTTGACGTTTTCCACGAGGGCTCTCTCCAGCTCTGTTTCGCCGTCCGAGTCGTCTCCATATTTTGCCTTGATGCGCATGGAAAAGGCACGCACAATCTCTCGTGGCACAAATTGCTCTTCTTCCGATGCTTGAAAGGTCGCCATGTTGAGGCTCTACTAATATGCGCATCGGTTACTATCATTCACATAGCCTTATACATCCCAAGAGGCTTGCGCCCAGCCTCTTGTCAGAATGGGGGCCTAAACATAGCACTTTGGCGAGTGGCCCCTGATACGAATGCGGCTTGTGCATGTGAGCCTGGTTATCGGTCAAGTTCACGCAGCAGGGGTCGGTTGGGTAGGAAATTGCTCAGACTTGTGTCGCACGCTCTTGGTCCTTCGATATACCCCGCTTCCGTTGGTCAATCTGGGACTGTCATCGGATTAGCGCCGTTACTCAGATAATGCAGTCAGACCCAAGCGTTCATGAGGTGTGGGGGCCATTCGGCTGGGCCTGAAACCCACAGGGGTTCTGGGCATGTTATGAAGACTGTTTATATTGAGAACAGTCTTATTTTTTCCCACTTTTTGAAATCTATTCTCTTCAATCTCAAGTACCAGAGCATGGCGGCCACTTCATGCCCGATCGAACCAGACACCGCATTCCGAGATTCAGGGATTGGGATGCTACCCACGGAGAATACCAGTGGGCATGTCCCAAAAGACTCAGTCGACGAACCCAAAGTGACGAATGGCTGCACTGAGACGAATAGATCCAAAGATGCCGAAACCCAGCAGTCTGCTGAGATAATATATGAGATTCGCTACCAGAGTTTATCAGGGGAGCATCTGCACAGCCGGCCGTTACAAAAGCGGGCTCACGAGTTTGAACAGCCTGTTTCGGTTCAATCACCGGTAATGTAGGCGGATATTCATGAGCTATTCATGAATTCTGAAATGACTGCGTCTCAGGAAGGTCGTCGATGTTCGAAGTACCTGGCTCGAGATTGGTGCCCCGGAATTTTCAGGTAACAAGACTGCCGACACCAAAGACGCCTCACAGCAATCGGCAGCAGCCCAGGATAAGCTCAAAAGCGAGGCGAATATAAAGCTCCCGCCTTTTGAGTCCCGCCTTGGGTCTTACATCGAGATTACGTCGCCCGCGGTGTTGGAAGCTCTGCGATGCGTTATCGACTACGCACCAGGGTACGAACTGGGAGCAAGGAACGTCCGGATCAACTGGCCGTACTCACTCCTAGTCCACTACGACGATGCTCTGGCCAAGTACCAGGAGAAATTTGCGACTCCCGATTGCACTGGCGTGGCTTGCCCGGGCAAGTACGCCAACAACCATATCAGCGTGGTCAGGAACTTTGTAAATGACGCAGTTGGCACGGCAATCGAGGACGAGCGCAGGCGACACGAGAGGGGCATGGCTACATTCGACATGCTATGGCTTCTTCTCCGACCTGGAGCCGATATGCTGTTTGACGAAAACATCATAGGCGAGTACCAGCCATATGTAATGGGGTCAATGAGATGTGTTGTTTGCGACGGGACGATTCGATCCTACGTCGTCACCCTCTGGAACATGAGAGCCAATTCATTATACATTGGTCCCAGTTACGACACGTTGACAATCGAGCCGTTTGCCGGGGAAAAGAAGATCAGTTCCCTGCCCGTCTATCCGTTTGAATTCCGCACCAAGAACAGAGTCTGGGGCGAAAAGGAAGACGCCAGGCAGTATTTCGAGGAGAGGGGTAAAGTGTTCTTCCAGCTGAGGCGGCAGGGTTGCTGGGACTTTCGCGGATACACTACTACATTTCCGCGGCGGCCGGTACGTCTCTCGGAACGACTTCTTGGACAGTTTTGACGAGTGCTAGATTGAGGGACTGGTGATATCAGATCCCGACCGCTATGTTGCCCAAGAAGGTGTCGACGAGGCCACTCTTGCATTGAACTTTGAGACGGACCACGAGCTGTTGTTTGACCGTCAGTGTTGCGAAAACTGCCGCACAATCATCAGCTCGCAGCGCAAACCATACAAGTTCAGCGGCTACTCCAACATCAATCCCCTTAATGTATCAGGGCTTTCAGATCACCAATACTTTCTTTGTAATCGCAGCACCCATGCCTATGTACTCAAACAACGCAACTGGAGTGACCTGGACGTTTCTGGATTCCGCCCAGCCCATTACGACAAGTCTATCCTGGACACGCTGGTCATGGCCGAACCGCACGTCAAGCAGCTGATCCGCAGTCTGACGCACAAATACCTCGTCGGACTGCAAGCCGAAGCCGAGCGAGAAGCAAAGTTCAACGAAAAAGCCGCGGATACGAACGAATCAGTCTCGAAAAAGACATGGTCGCCCGACTTTGTCAAGGGCAAAGGCGAAGGCCTGATTTTCCTCTTGCACGGAAAACCAGGCGTGGGCAAAACCTACACAGCAGGTAAATGCAGCCTTTCTGACGAGCGATACGAGCTGGTACTAAGTCGATCCTAGAATGCATTGCCGCCAACGCCGGCCGCCCTCTCCTCACCATCACATGCGCCGACATTGGCACGGATCCACAGGAAATCGAAGAAAAACTCATGGTCTTCTTCAAGCACGCCAAAGCATGGAACGCCATCCTGCTCATCGACGAAGCCGACATCTTCATGGAGCACCGGCGCGTCCAGGATCTCGAGCGCAACAGCCTCGTCGCGGGCTTCTTACGCGCAATGGAATACTATCAGGGCATTCTCTTCCTGACTACAAACCGAGTCGGCATGTTTGACGAGGCTTTTATATCCAGAATCAATCTTACCATTTACTACCCCCCGTTTACCGACAAGGCGCGGCTCGAGGTCTGGGAGTCGTTTTTCAATAAGCTGGAGCGCGAGCGCGAGGGCGAAATTAGAGTGCATAATAACACGCGCGACTATGTCGAGGAGTCGGAGGATCTCAAGCGGCTGCAGTGGAATGGACGGGAAATCCGGAATGGTAAGTCTACGGCGTGTTAGCACTTGCTCGTTTTTCTTTTTTCAAATGCTAACATTGTGCCAACAGCCTTCCAAATCGCTGTCTCGCTCGCTGAAACCGAAGCCGAAAAAGACTCTAGAGGCCGCATTGTCATCAAGAAAGAGCATATCCAGGAAACAGTCAACATGTCCAAGTCGTTCAAGAAGTATCTCAAGGACCTGTACCACAAGGATGAAGATGCGATTGCGGCGCTGAGGGGGAACCGGAACGACTCGAGCCATAACGTTACGAAGTCGAATGAAAAGGGATACCGTTGATAGGGAGAAAAGCTAGTGGTTTCTTGAAGAAGGCGTCTTGGTCAGGGTTGTGAGTGATTTTGAGGATGCACAGCGCTGTACCTTGTATACAAAATCAGCAGGCATTGTTTTACACAATAAACATTTTGAACGGCTGGAAACAGAGCCTATGTTTATTCTATGCAGCTTACTCATTACACCGAGAACCCCGAATCAATACATATATTCTGGCCCGTCATACTGCCACTCATGATCAGTGTCCGGACCTGGTCCGCGCAATCCTCAACCGTCGCCAGCCTCTTCAGTTTGGTATTGTTAATCGACGCATTGCGTTTCGCCTCTGGAAACTTGAGGCCCCACTCGGTGAGCAGCATGCCGGGGCTAATGCTGTTGACGCGGACGCTGGGCGCCAGGATAATGGCCAGGCTCTTGATGAGGTGGATCTGCGCGGCCTTAGTAACGGCGTAGGGGACGCTGCTGCCGCTAGGCTTTACGCCGGCGATGCTGGCAGTGGAAATAAAGCAGCCCTCGTTTGCAGCAAGAGCGTCTTTCGCCGCGTAGGCGAGCCAGAGATGGGATTTGACGTTCATGGTGAAGCACTTGTCCCAGTCGTCGTCGTTGACTTGCTGCTCGATGTCTGTGAAGGTCGTCATGCGCGTCCACCCGGCATTGGATACCACCACGTCCAGACGGCCCATCTTTTCAATCGTTTCCTTGACGAGGCTTTGCACTGACGGCTTTGACGACATGTCGGCCTGGATCAAATGGAACCGCGGGCTGGCCTGCGAGGAGCTGCCGGGTATCGACGTGAGTTCCTTGATGAGGGATTGTGCGCGCTCCGAGTTGGACGAGTAATTGATCACCTGACTGCGTTAGAATCCCCTTGCATGACACATGGTGAAGCCGCGTACCACACGGAAGTCTGGTGCCAGCACGCGGGCTATCTGGGCTCCCAGGCCTGCTGAGCTTGCCGTGATGAGGGCGACTTTTGCGGCAGCCATGATGGGTTGCACTTTCCAAGATGAATTTTGACGGACGCCCGGAAGATTTGAGATTTTGCCGGAAAAATTGGTGTTTACGGGGAAGTCGCCATGGTGTTTATCGACGGCCGGCAGTCGCGGGGTAGTCGCGGGGTAGTCGCGAGGTCGGCATTCCCTCATCGGGAGTTGACCGCGGAACATTTCCGCGTCGTTTTTGCCGACTTATTCCTCGACTTTTGGGTTATTTGACTCGATATTTGGACTCCTGCGAAGAAGACGCATCATGCAAGAAACGATTTACAAAATTTGAATATGTGGAAAGTCGTGGTTTTTGTTCCGGACATTCAGCCTGTGCGCACCTTCCAAGATCGTAACCGTGATACCCATGGCCGCAAATGTCCGTAAACCTTTACCGCGATCAAAAGATTAACTCTTATCCTTCTACAAGACATGTTATGAATCGCCGGATCTCTTATTACCCCCATATTTCATCGCATGCCCGTCAGAGTTTCCGTCAGCGCACTGCTAGCTTCCGGGTGCGCTGGTGCAGCCGGAAAAATCGCCCCTGCACCTTCCAAATTCGTGACAGTAACACCCCGTCTAACAAATGTCCGTAAACATCTACCGCCACCAAAAACTTTACTATTTCCTTCTAGAAGCAATATTATGAATCGCTGCACCTCAAATTACCCCCGTCTTCAATCCCATGCCCGCCATAGCTCCCGTCAGCGCGCTACATAGGTCCGGGTGCGCTGGTGCAGCCGGAAAAAATCGCACTTGGGCAGTCGCAAACATCGCACCTCCCACTCCAGGCTAAGCAGGCCTTGCGCAAACCTTCTTCGCAGCCGGCGGACAAACAAACTCGCTGAAAACGCGTGCGTATTCGCGTTTTTCGACAAGCGTGTTCGATGATTCGTGATATATATACATGATTCGGCGTCTTTTGCTCGCGCGGCTTGAAGAGGAGGAGACGGAAGATGTCGACGGAGAAGAGACGGATGCACAGGGAGAAGGACGCTTGGTTCCGTGCGTGTCGACAGCGACGGGCTCGTGGTGGGTTTGCAGCTTCGTCTTCTGCTTCTTGTTGCATCCTGTGGCGGTGTCCTGCGCATCGTGCTCGTCCATATCCGCGTTTGCGTCTGCCGTGTGCATATCGACAGATTGATCTACCGCCTCAAAGCTCTTACGCTTCGCCCCCTTTCTCATCGAAGCTTCCATGGCCAGTTCGGCTGGCTGCTTGCTCTTACAACCAGCATCCCACTCCTGAATCATATCCTCCAGTGTCTCATTCTTCAGAGCTGCCACATCTCCCTTCTCACAAGCCCGACCGAACCCCTTTCGGAAAACCGCACACACAGTCTCCGCAACATTGGCCTTGAGCCCCGGCGCAAAGCGAGTGACCAGCTCGACGCAGCACGCAATCAACGCGATCGCATCCGTCTCCCTCAGCTTCTTCAGCTTGGCTGCTTCAGACGCCGGAATCTTGTTGTAAATGACATTGATGACGATTTCGCGGCAGGTCGGGCAGATGAAAGGGGCTTGGTCGAGTTCTGGGGTCTTGCAGTTGCTGTCGCAGTCCTCGGAGCTGAGGATGTAATGGCCGCATGTGAGTTGGTGTTGGCTGTCGAGTCCGCATGGTTCGATAATGTCCTAGGCTTTCGTCGCTTTTGGCCGAATGGGGATGCGCTGACGGTCCTGCTGGCGTTTGGGCTGCAAAAGTGAGCGACCGGCGTAGTTACTAGACGCAGCTGCAGTGGGATTGCCCTGGGATTTATCAGACTCCTTTGTATTCGGGATCTCGACAGGCGAAGCTGATTCGGTTTCATCTGGCGTTGCTGGAACGGAAGAGGACGCCTGATGTGTCGGGCTGCCCCAGATGTTCATGAAACTACTAATCGCCCTGAACATGTCGACGTTGTGGCTGATGCGTATTGGAAAAGTTGTAGTTGAACAATGCGGCTGATCAGAGCAAGCGTAGGTGAGAGTAATGGACATTGTTTGGGACAAGACTAGTGTAATATACCAGTGCAGAGGCAAGTGAATTGGTAAGATTGAGGTGATGTCACATAATGTACATGGTTTCACCAGCAAAAGGCTGGACTAGTCTACATGGTCTTTGTCAAACGACTGGCGGGCGCGACCAAACAAGAATAGGCAGACCCGCCGGCAGTACAGTTCCTCCAAGTTGCGAGTGGTGAGGTCGATCATTTCAACATTTCCGCATCCACCTCATTGCCAGCGGCCTTGGAGTTGTTGGATTCGGCGATATCCTGCTCCTGGCTCTTCATAGCCTCCAACACTTCAAGCCCCATGTCCGTTCTTGGTCCTGTAAAGTTCTTGCGGCCGTCGACGAACCATTGGAAGGTGCTGATGAAAAGGATAATACCAAAGGCAACGACACAGTAATCTATACTTGTTAGACAGCACTACCGAGAGCATCGGACGACTTACTCATGTTTGAGGACGTTACGGGCAACCCGGGCGGAAACAGGAATAGGACCGTAGTGACAATGGTATATGCGACGCCCAGTAGGTTTGCTGCCCAGCCAAGGGGCTTTGGCAAGACAAAGGACCTCTCGCCTAGCATACTTCTGCCGCGACAGAGGTTGATGGCAACAGGGATGGCGTAGCTCACGCCCAAAGCCACAACCGAGGCGGAGATGAGCGCACTAAAGGCACTGCTGGAACCAATCAAGATCAATCCGAAGAGAATCGTCAGGGTGGCGGCCAAGATGAGCGCATTCAGTGGCTGCCCCAGTCGTGGATGCACCTTTGCAAAGAACTTGGAAAAGGGCAGTCCGCCGTCGCGCGCAAATGCATAAGTCATCCGACTCGAGGTAGTCATGATGGCAGTCTCTGCAAAGAAGACGCAGACCAGGGGAAACATCAACAGACATGTAGCCCCGGCTCGGCTCTTGGTCGCGTTGACAAGGATCTGCAGGAGCGGGCCAGGTGCTGCTGAAATGATGGCATCGGTATCGCCTCCGGAGACGAATAGCAGAACCATGAGGAAAATGAAGCCGGTGGAAGTGCCAATGGCGACACAGTAGATCATAATCTTGGGGCCTTCGACCGAGGCGTTGGGAATCTCCTCAATCATGTGGGCAACGGCATCGTAGCCAGTCAAGCCAAAGCCGCCCTGAAGCAATCCAAGAAGCCAGGCGATGCCATCTGGCCAGTCCGTCTTGTTGATGAATTGGGTAAAGACGAAATCGCCGGACGTGTAGTTGGGGGATGCGCAAGCGAGCACCGTGATACAGATGATGATGAATCCACCAATGGACCAGATGAATGCGGTGCGATTGACATAGGGTAGCAAGCTGTTCATAAAGGCATTGATGACGAACGCGATAAGCGTCCATGCCACATAGATGAGCCAGACCTGCCATGGATGCAAAGTGAACTCCGGATGGTAGAGCGCGACGAGCCCAGAAATGAGCTGTGACGCAAGCAGTCCTCCAGACGTGGTCAAGGCAATCCAGCCCGACACGTTGATCCAGCCCGTGATGAAGGATGCGAGCGGGACCCATTTCTTCGGGGTAATGACGGCAACCCAGTGATATCTGCATCTGGTCAGCGTAGCTCTGCGCGTGCTTGGCTGCGACGTACTGTCCACCGGCTGTGGGGTATGCGGATAGGAACTCGGCGAGCGATGCAGCCAAGGCCAAGTTGCAGATACCGGCTGTGAAGAGTCCCCAGATGACACTAGTTGACCCGCCCGATGGCAGAGCAAGGCCAAGCGAGGTGGAGAGGGCTGTCCATGAGTTCAAGATGGCAAAGGCCAGTCCCAGCATGGACAGGAGACTAAAGTTGCGCTTCAATTCGCCCTTGTGGCCGAGTGCTGTTCAAGTCAATGCCAATTCGACGGACACGGGGTACATGCAGACTTACCCTGCAGCTGGGCCTCATCGTCGAGAGGTTGTGGCTTCATGGCGTCGGCGGACTGCAGAGAGTGTGTAGGAGACAGTGTTGGCGGAGCACAAAGTACAAGACTATCCAGCCGAGCGGATGTCGTGATCTCGGGCGCGGCCGAATGCCGCCAGCCATGCAGGTCATCGACGAGGTGACGCCGGGAGAGGCGAAACTGCTAAAGCTTGACGAAGCTTGATTTGGTAGAGGCCATGATAGCATGTCGTTCGTCCGGGCGAAAGACGGGGTAGCAGCCAATCAGCGACGCGGATTCCGGCTATCTCGCGCTGACCCAGCAGCGTTACATTGCATCCGGCATGCATTACCCGATGCCGCATTGCGCCACGCCCGTGGCCTATCATGCTGCAGGCCGGGCGTCAAGGGCGCGATAGCTCACGACTTGTGTTGATAGCAATAGTGGTAGTGGAGGCTGGTCCGGAGGTCGACGGATAGAGGCAAAGGTTCCGGCTGGGGGCGTGGAGGTTTGTCGAAGCTTTGCGGCTGCGGGTTCCCTGTCTTGGCATCCTTGGCATGGGGACGCACCCGCAGCTATCGTGACGACATACACACGCCCGCCAACAGCTCGCGGCCGAGCCAGCAGCACCGTGTTGGCCGCGAGTGCATATCCATCGCCACCATGTTTCTTTTGACACCGGCAACGGCGGTGGTGCTTGTGCTTGGGCCCATGCCAAACTTTGTTCCCTTGGCGCATACGTCCGCTGAGTTTCAGTCTCCACCTCCAGCTTAAGACGTCCGACGCAGCTCCATCACCATCGCTCTCCATATACATAGATGCCGCAGCCCTGGAACAGAATGCGCCCAAACCGACCCCACGAATACACGCCTCTTCCTCTGGACGAGAAGGAGGTCCTCTCGACGAGCTCCCCACGGCGTCATGACAAAGGACGACGACTACGTACCCGCGCTCTCCAGGCGGTCGTCGCAGCCGCAGCCGTCTACGGCCTCCTGAGGTAGATGGCATCTCAGCTCTAACCAGCAGCTCCTACTGACCCTCTGCAGCGTCTTTGGGTGTTCACACACCAAGCCCTGCGACACGATCGATCAAGGCTACCGCTGCAGCCCCAAGACGACCCACTTCTTGGGCCAGTACTCGCTCTGGTACTCGGTGCCCTCTGAGATCGACGTTGCGCCCCCGAGAGGCTGCGAGGTCACCTTTGCAAACGTCCTCTCCCGCCATGGTGGCCGCGACCCGACGTTTGGCAAGACCATGGCCTACCACATCCTGATCGCCGACATCCAGAATACAAGCACGTCATACCCGGGCAGGTTCAAGTTCCTGAAAGACTACGACTACACGCTGGGCGCGGACGAGTTGACGGATGCTGGAAGACAAGAGATGGTGAACTCGGGCGCGCACTTTTACCGCCGGTACCAGAAGCTCGTCGACGAGAACACGCCGTTTGTGCGCTCCGGCGGCCAGCATCGCGTGGTCGAGTCGGCCCAGCGTTGGCTCATGGGCGTTGCACAGTCGCTGAAGGAAGAGCCCCGGGAAATTGACGTCGTCATCCCAGAGGGTCCGAGTTGGAACAATACGCTGTCGCACGATATCTGCCCTGCTTTCGAAGGCGGCCTACACCACGGCCTGGGAGACCGAGCGCAGCATGTGTGGGGGGACAAGTTCTTGCCGCCGATCCAGGAACGCATCAACTCAGCCCTGGGTACGAATCTGAGCACCACCTCCATCGTGTACCTGATGGACATGTGCCCCTTTGACACGCTTGCACACCCTTCCGCGAAGCTGTCCAAGTTCTGCAAGCTGTTCACGGACAAGGAATGGCGCGAGTACGACTACTTCCAGACGCTGGGCAAGTACTACGGCTACGGTGTAGGAAACCCTCTTGGGCCTACGCAAGGCGTTGGGTACGTCAACGAGCTGCTGGCACGGCTGACGCAGAAGCCTGTCAAAGACAATACCAACACCAACCGCACGCTCGACTCGGATCCAAAGACATTCCCTCTCGACCGTAAGGTGTATGCCGATTTCAGCCATGACAACGATATCAGCGGCATCCTAGCGGCGCTTGGGCTCTACAACAAGACTGCGGCGTTGTCAAACACCACCATTCAAGACACCAAGCAAACTCATGGTTACTCGGCTGCATGGACCGTCCCGTTCGCCGCCCGCATGTATGTTGAGAAGCTGCAATGCAAGCACGAGGAGCAAGAGTTTGTCCGCATCATCGTAAACGACCGAGTGCAGCCACTGGAGTTTTGCGGCGGGGATGACTTTGGCAGATGCACACTGAGTAAGTTTGTGGAGAGCCAAAGCTTTGCCCGAAGTGGTGGGCTTTGGGATCAGTGCTATGATTAGACGCTGTCACGCTGTATACCATGTCTTGACGCATCGTACTTTCTGCAGCGTGGCTTTGTTTGAGATGAATCAATCAGTTTACAATGACCTTGTGCGAGCAGTCGTGTCTTGGTTTGTTTCCTTCACATGGCGCTTTCTCAGAAACGTATGCTTACTTTTACATAAGTCGTCAGGCCAGCACATGAGGCAAATGCATGGCTGGCAATCATTTGCGACTGTACAATAAGGCAACAAACAACGATTTAAGCATATGAGCACTGGGTGAAAGAATACCACTCTCCGAACCAATACAGGATGGGACTGAAAATCACCGTACCAAAGCACATATGGAACGCCTACGGCCCTCTCCAGAGCAAATCTATAGGAATAGGAACATCCAGAGCGACTACCCGGTCTAAGAACTGCAAAATCAAACTCACCCGCTTCCACTACGGCGGTCCGAAGCGCCGGATCAGAGGGCAATGGAGCAACGAAATCACATACGAACAGCCCTGTTTACAACTCACGTGTATAAGCTGCCGGGAATGGTACCCGCATCTACTTGGGGACCAGGCGCTCCCAGGTGCTTCAGGACATGACTCTGACAGCACCAAAGGGCGAAGCGCAAAATCCACAATTGGAGATGAGCACAGTGAGACGTCCACTACGCATCAACCACCAGCAATTACTTACGTAGTCCCTGTAAACATGACGACCAATGTCCCTGTCCCCCCCTCACTGGCCAAGACCAACCCTCGCAAGCACAAGCGGGTAGAGCTTCGGCCAACTCCGCGGAGACGATGCCATGTCCAGCTACGGTTCTTGTCGCGACAAGGCAAAAAGGCCTTTAAAGCCCTTGTTCGGAAGCATCAAAGAGAGGAAAAGAAAAGGAGACGAGGTTGCTAGGGCAGCCCGGGTGTACCTAGACAAGAGATACCAGCGTCCGTCGTAGATTGAGAGCACATGGGATCATCCGAATCGTTCCGGCATGTCGCACGCGCATTCTTACGCATTTCGAGTTCTAGAATCCGTCTCAGAGGGTTGCGATAATATGCGGCCTGCCCGGCAGTGCCAGCTCGGAAAATGAGCATACGCCAAAGCCGCTGGTATCGATTCTTGGCGGGAATACCCCACTCTCGTGAGCACAATCCTTAGTAATGCTGCCAAGCGCCGCCACAGATCCCTGCATGCGCCTCAGACAGCCCACTAAAGCACTTCGCATCTCAGTCATCGCCCGTCCTCCTGTCCACGCGGCTATATAGGCTGCCATGTCTGCCCCTCCCAATGCTGGACACAGCTCGCCGAGACTCGACTCCCCATAATGGTGCATATGGCTAGGTTGCGGGCGGGCCCGGCCGCACTCCGACGGGCTGCTGGTTGTGGCAAACTATTTTCTCGATTGCCCATCTATGCGACCCGGGCAAGAAGTATTGCGACAAACACAGCGAATCGAGAGCTGCCCTCAAGCATCCCTCCCGCGTCGATACCGCAGCAATCGAGCGCAGAGGACCGCAGGGCTGCCATCAAGAATGCGAAGCCCTTTTCGGAATTCCTGACGGACTCGTTCAACCGGCAGCATGACTATCTGCGCATCAGCATCACAGAGCGCTGCAATCTGCGATGTCTGTACTGCATGCCCGAAGGTGCGCCTTGGAAAGCTCTAGACAAAGGATATGGCTGACTGGAACAGAGGGCGTTCCGCTTTCACCGTCCGCTAACATGCTCACCACGCCCGAAATCTTCTACCTTTCCTCGCTCTTTGTATCGCAAGGCGTCACCAAGATTCGCCTTACCGGTGGCGAGCCCACGATTCGCCGCGACATTGTCCCCCTCATGCAGCAAATCGGCAGTCTCCGCCCAAAAGGCCTGCGCGAACTCGCCCTCACCACAAACGGCATATCGCTGCACCGGAAACTCGATGCCATGGTGGAAGCGGGCCTGACAGGCGTCAACCTGAGCCTGGATACCCTGGACCCCTTCCAGTTCCAGATCATGACCCGGCGGAAAGGCTTCGATGCCGTCATCAAGTCGATTGATCGCATACTCGAGATGAACAAGCTGGGAGCAAACGTGAAGCTCAAGGTCAATTGTGTTGTGATGCGCGGTCTCAACGAGCGCGAAATCCTGCCGTTTGTCGAAATGGGCCGCGAGAAAGACATTGAAGTGCGCTTCATCGAGTACATGCCTTTTGGCGGTAACAAGTGGAGCGAGAACAAGATGATCAGTTTCCAGGAGATGCTGGATATCATCCGGACAAAATACCCGGGTCTCCGGCCGGTTGCGGGCCACAAGAACGACACCAGCAAGACGTACGAGGTTCCTGGCTTTGTGGGCAAGGTCGGCTTCATTACGAGCATGACCAACGACTTTTGCGGCACCTGCAATCGACTGCGCATCACGAGCGACGGCAACCTCAAAGTGTGCTTGCACGGAAACGCCGAGGTGTCGTTACGCGACGTACTCCGGCAGGGCAACAACGGTGAACCCATTGACGAAGAAGCATTTGAACGCATCAAGCAAATCGAGATGGATCGCCATCAAGGCCGTCTGAGCGATGAAACCACACTCGGCTGGGGCCAGCGTGAGCGCGAGCTCCTCGACGTCGTTGGAGCAGCCGTCAAACGCAAAGCGGAAAAACACGCCGACTTGGGTGATCTCGCAAACATGGAAAACAGGCCGATGATCTTAATTGGTGGGTGAACACGGCCCCTCTCTTCTTTACTGTCCATCGTTGGGCCTGCAATATCGACAATGGCTGCATGAATGGCGTTTTGAGCGTTTTCCTTGTGGATAACACCGTCGCTTGAGCATCATATCCGATTACATACTCGAATGATATACCCATTTGCCTGCATATCGTCCTCTTATGTGATGTCCATTGCTAACTACGTGTAGGCGACAAGCCCTCCCCAGGCATCGATTCATGGCGGCCTCCCTTTTTACGAACACTACCTTCTCATACCCTTCCCTTTACCTCCAGCATACTCCACGCGTCAATGCCACGTCTACATTCGAGAGCCTTCTTGTCTACGACCGCCATTCGAACCTACAAAAAAAATGCAAAGCGATCCTCTGCATCCTCTATAAAGAGAGATAAAAAAAAAGAAAAGTTCGTTCGCACCAAGGATTTTAAACCGGGATATCGAAAAAAACGCGGCGTTCCCCTCCACATCCGGGATCCCGAAACCTACCGCATACTAATAGCTAGCCAACAGAAGACAAAAGGGTATATAGCGCTGCCACCCCACCTTGAATCCGTGCGACGCAAGTACGACTTGAATGTCGAAAAGTTTGACGACTACTGGCGTCTGGTTGTTCAAGCAATCCTGTCTAGCGGCAGGGGCCAGCACCACAAGTTTCATCATGCAAAGGCCGCACAGAAGCTTGCAACGCTACAGTGTTTGGTGAGGGATAGGCCAAAGATAAAGCATAGACCGTTGATGCACGAGGCTCAGTCGATTGCGGATCGGGCAAGGAATAAGCGCATGGCAGAGGAGTCGCAACATGCTGCTGAGGAGAGGGAGGATCATTTGAGTCATGATCGAGTACAGGAGAATGTTGGAAAGATTGAGCAAGATGCTGTACAAGACGAAGCAGAAGACATGGAATGGTGGGCAGCACGAAATGCAACGCAAGGGGCAGCACGAAATGCAGCACGAAATGCAGCGCAAGAGGCAGCCCAAGAAGCAGCACGAAAGGCAGCCCAAGAAGCAGCCCAAGAGGCAGCCCAAGAGGCAGCAAAGGACGTAGAACAGGACGCAGCACAAATCACCGCGCAATTCGAGAACCTTAAAGCGCTCGAAATACAGGAGATAAAGAAGGTCAGCGAGATCGGATCATTCCTGGAAGAGGTCAGCATACCATCGGAAAGCGAGCGGGTGTTGAAAAAGGTGGAGCCAATGATCCAGGTGTTGCAGAACAGCATTGCACGCATTGTCCAGATGAAATCATCCATTGAGGATCAAGAGGTCTCTGAGCAATCAAAACAGCTGGATAAAATAACCCAACTGCTGGAATCGTACAAGCAGCAAGTCGCTGATATTCGCGAAAGAGCTCAAAAGCGGCAAGACATCAGGAAGCGAAAGGAGGAACTGCTGAACAGGAAGCGCATGTTACTGAAGCAGCTCGAAAAACAAGAGGTGGCAGAAAGAGAAGCAAGAAAGGTCCGAAAACCTGTCGAGCCAGCACTGCAAGCTTTGGACAACATTCTAGACGATGCAATGGAAAAGATTGAGAATAGCCCGAGCGAGCCAAGGTCACCAAGGAAAGGTCTTCGCCTTAACACCGCATCAGCAGCGGAGCAGCCAGCAGATAATCCCATGGTTCCGCTGCGAAAGATTGGACCGGGCTCGATTTCTGTCCTGTATAAGTCGCGCTCGCCAGACGGGGTTGCGAAGACTGCAAAGACAAACACACCACTTAATGCGTTTGTTCCAAAGAAACCAAGCGACGCACTTCGTCTCTACGTGCCGCCTTCTGGCTTTGTACCAATCGACAAGGATCATATTGTCAGTTTCGAGGGCTCAGTACCAGACCTCCAGTCCGAGGTCTTGCAAATGGCCAAACGCCTCGAAAGCTCCTACCCCCGTATCGGCAGTCTTCCGTACGATGTCTGGACGAGTAAAAACAAAGCCACCCTGCAAACATGGCTCAAGATTTTGGTGAGCAAGTGGAAAACGCGCTTCGACAACGTTGAGCAGACTGGGCAAATTGAAAAGGATATTGTAGACGAGCGGTTACGCAGTGTATTGGATGCCATGGTTCGCGATCATGATCTGAGCAACGAGGCCGCGGAGCGCATGGCCATGCGGTGGCATGAGATTTTCGATCGGAAAGGAGCCATGGATGGAGACGCAGAGGGGGTGCTGGATTGGGATGAGTTTAACGCTGAAGGTCTGGGATTCTTGACTGACGAGACTACACCTGCGTCGACACGGCGACAGAAACAAAAGACACAGACACTGTTCGGCAGCCAGAGGCCTTCGCTGTCTAACACCTCAGCCAGCAGAACTGCGTCTGCACCGAGAATGTACTCGACGTCGTCTCGCTCCTCACAACCAGCTCAGGAAAAGCCAAACGACCATGCCAGAAACGCAGCATCCAACGCACCGGCGTCTTCCCTCCCGCACTTGACGGAATCAGGCTCAGCACACATGGTCTCCGTCTCCGCAAAACCACACACGGTCCGCACCGCCATCGCCGCCGGCTCAGTCTACTTTACCAATCCCACTCCGCTCTCTCTCATCCAGTCCAACACTCTCAAAAAGGGCGATGTACTCGGCGTATCCCGCATCGCGGGTATCATGGCGGCGAAGAAGTGCCCGGACCTGATTCCACTGTGCCATCCCATTGCCCTGACCCACGTGGGCGTGGAGCTGAAGCCTTTTTCCAGCAAAGACGATACGAAGAGCAGTGATGCGCATGGCTACGGCGGCGTACACATCGAGGCCAAAGTCCAATGTACGGGGCCGACAGGCGTGGAAATGGAAGCCCTGACGGCCGTCATGGGCGCGGCGCTCAGCATCGTGGACATGTGCAAGGCCGTGGATAAGTTTCAGCGCGTGCAGGATGTGCGCGTTGTGCTGAAGGAGGGCGGCAAGAGTGGCGTGTGGAGGGAGGAAGGGTGGGCGAGTTGGCAGGGTGAATAACGTGTGAAAGTGTAGGATGTGAATGTGTACGATAACGCGGGATATTGCAGCAACCTCTAAAAGCACATGTTATTTTTTTCTTCACTCACAATAAGGCGATTTCAATAAGATACTTGTAGAATAGCAACGCGAGCTTCGTTCTAGACTCTGGAAACCGCTTCGTTTGGCCACCAAGAATATGATTCCCCTCAATCCATACACCAGGTACGGATACCCCGAAAACATGCGAGTACCAACAGGAGAGTAGCCCCTCCGCACTCTTATCCCCATTTAACCCACATGCACTCGCTGCTGTGTGCCGTCGCGCGCATGAAAAAGCAACTCCCCATGCGCTCGCCGATCCCCAAATTCCTATTCAGCCCCAAATCGAGCGTTATTCAGAGCCCCCCCCCACCCCACCCCACGCACCATGGAACCCGCATGGCACCTATCGCAGTGCGGGCATCCCTTTGCGAAATGGCAAATCCTTCATATTTCGGTTGTCCGAGTGAGAAGGCGAGAATAATTGTAGACTGATTAAATTGTTTTCTTATGCTGTGCTGTTTGGTCCCCGCGGGCAGGCTTGGAAGGAATGGTGGTGTGTGGCTCGTTGGTTTATACATGGGGACGAGAAGGGGGGGGGGAACGCATATTATACAATAGAAGCGTTTGTATCTCGTATGGTGGGATTTGCGAATATATCTTCTTCATGTTCGCACGATCGTTTCCTGGATACTGCGTTTTCAGCGGATTACTCCTGTAACCCTCTCTTTTGTTGGTGTCTGCTGATACTCTCCCTCAATTACACATACGCTTCCTCCTTCAGCGCTTCTTCGGCATTCGTGTGCTGTCAACGTACTAGCAGTACTCAAAGGACAGACAGAATGCGTATACCGATTGAGAATGACCTCCAAATCTGGACGCTGGTGCTGTCGTCCATTTCGATTACGATCTCGACCGTCGCTGTAATATTGAGGCTGATGGCAAAGTATATGCGGAACAAGATTGATTTTAGCGATTATTGCATTACTGCTGGTTTGGTACTTGCTCTCTTTCATTTGTCCGTGTTGATTGTCCTGCAAAACGAAAGCATATTCTATTCGACAACGTTAGTCGAGAGACGCGCTGACTCGCAGTCAAGTTCTCAAACCTAGCCCTCAACTCGGAATTCATCTGGCTGGTGCACCACAGTGGGCTTGGATTCGACGTTTACGTCGTCGCAGCGCGCTGGGGCTCCGAGCTCGTCACAGGCCTCTACAAAGGCGTCACAATCATCACCTTGATCTGGACGGCAACCGTGTGCCTATCCAAAGTATCCATCCTGCTCATGTATACGTCCGTCATCCCCAATCGCTCCATGCTGCTCATCTGCCGCGGCATCGGCGTCTTCATCGTCATGTGGGCGATATCGGGCTTTGCGGCGGCGGCGCTCGTCTGCAGGCCGTTTACGTACAACTGGGAAATGAGCATCGAGGGCGTAGAGGGCACCTGTGGAAGCCAGAACAAGTTTTACTTTGCAATGGGCATGATCAATGTCATCCTGGATACCGTGCTGATTGGGCTGCCCATGCCGTATTTGTACCGGCTGCGCATGCCGTGGAAGAAGAAGTTGGTCGCCATGTCGCTGTTTGGTCTGGGGATTACGTGAGTCTCCTTTTCAAAACTGGGGGTTTTCGACGTGGGATGCTTGGACTGACTTTGGTTCAGGACGTGGGCTATTACGGTCCTGCGAGAAGCGCTGCTGCTGCACCTCGATTGGGACAATGCTGATCAGGTGCGGGACTGCGTGTTTGTTATTCTTTTGACCGGACTGGAGACGGCCGTCGCCATCGTCGTGGCGTCTATCCCGCTTATGCGCCCGTTGTTCTCGAGGTGGTCCGGCTCAAAGAATGCGAGTGGCAAGAAGCAGCGTGCGGGAGGTAACAGGTGGAACAGCAGGAGCATACCCGAGCTGTTGTTTCCGCCGTCGTGGTTTGACAAACGCGATAGTGGCGTGCATGCTGATGCGCAACCAGTGAAGGCTTTGCCGGGGATAAGTCTGCAGTCTTGTTCGGAGAATGGTAGTGAGGAGTATTCTCTCCAGGAGCCTTCTTTCCTCCCAGAAGGTCCAAACTTTCCGGCTGGCCCAAATCTTCCGGCTGGCCCAAATCTTCCGGCTGGCTCTCGTCCAGGGCACTCCTTCCACCCGGAAGAATCTACTTTTCCGGCTCGCTCTTCTCTTACGGCGCATTCTGATATTGTAGTCGAGGAGGGGTGGGTCCAAGCAACAACGTAGTGGTATCATCAACATGGCCCTGAAATTGGGCATTGGCATCTTTTCGGTATTCAGTCAGGTTGCATGTTCATTCAAGTATCTACCAGTCCTTTGTCGCAATAGCATTTTCGCCGGGTTGGGCGCGTGCATCTCTCAGTATCTTTTCGGGAACCCGTCAACAATCCCAAATGGTATCGAACCCTTTTACGCCTCGTAGACAAATACAAATGAATCAGCTAGCCTCTCCTCGCAACATATTTGTATTTCCAAGTCTGTAATTAATTGGGTTGTGGTTCAGTTTTCTTTCGGGTGGAGGAGTCTGCCTTGATTCATACATGCCAGAACCGTCGAACTACAACCGCGATCCAGGTAGAGACTGCAATTTTGAACCATGTTCTGTTGAAACTAGGGTACCCCAAGAATGCATATTAATTTTGTGAGATTCATAGGTCCAAAGCTGCGTTGGATAGAGTTCAACGGATGGGTTGCGGATGGGTTGTGGTCGGCCTGCGTGGTGGGGCTCTCAGCCAATCGGCGCTTCAATTGACCGAGGCGCCAAGTTTGGTCGACGATGATTCCATGACAACGACAGCTTCCGTGCTCCAATTGAAGCCCCCGCAGCCAAGATGAGGTCGTCTTATACGTGCAGGCAGTGTCTGTCGTTACTGAAGACTTCACGGGCACCGCTGCGACCCCCCCAGGCCCTCCGCCCGCTCGCCCAAAATGTGGCGGGTCCCCGAAACCACTCCACCAAAAGTCCGGCACCGCCAAAACTGGCTCTACCCAGGCGCGGCCTCTCCACGACCCCGCGACGGGCGGCCGAAAAGCCCTTTGAGCCATTCGAGTACATTGACCCCGAAGGCCACCGTCGGACGCTGCTCCTGACCGAGGACAATCTCTTCCACTCCTTCACCAACTCGCCTATCCCCGAGATACGAAAGCGCGCGGCCTTTATGCGCCAACATGCCTACTGCCCGCATCCTTCGCATAAGCCCACGCGTGCGCCCACCAACTCGGCCGACTTTGAGGCCCGCAAGTCGTCCGAGACGGGCTCTCCGCCTGCGCACGTCGATTTCGAGTGTCCAGATTGCGGCATTCCGGTATACTGCTGCGAAGAACACTGGGCAGATGACTACGAGGCGCATTTGGAGGTCTGCGATATTCTGAAGCAGATCAACGAGGATGACCACGATCTGAGGAGCGGGCGCTTCTTCCGCGAATTCCAGTTCGCCGAGCCCCAGATGGAGGAGATTCTGGTCAACATGACGAGCTGGGACACGTACTTGTACACCAGGGACTACGATGCGCTGAACGACGATCGGGAGATGCGACAAGCGACGAAGCTCTTGACATATCCCATAACCATTGCCAGTATCTTGAACGAGCTGAGTCCATACAATATTCGCAAGAACGGACGCATGACGCCTGAGGGATTGAAGAGCTTTAGTGGTACGTCGACTGGCCTGGTCAATTACGATTACTGACATAAAACAGCCCTCCGACACACGCTCCACCCACCACGAACCGGCGGAGGCGACAGCTGGAAGAACGCTCGTCTTGCCCCTCCCTCGGTCCGACTCTTTATCCTCGGTGCGCGCGCAGAGTCCTCTCTTCCACGCGAAACCTGGATGCAGCTTTCCTACCTTTTCCACCGCGTTCAATTCTCGCTCAACTTTATCGGACCTGAGAGCATGGCCAATCGCGAGAAAGAGCTGCCCCTTCCTGAGCGCACACCCCTGAATCCGTTCGGAGCTGTCATTGAAGACCGCATCAGCAACAGCATGAAGATTAGCACATTCGTCGAATACTACCACAACATTCACAAGACGGGCTACTTTTACCCCTATGACCCTTATTTTGACTGCTTTGTCGTCTTCCACCCAGGTTTCGGCAACCCTGCCTCGGCGCACGAGTGGGAGGAGACGCTTCCGCTGCTCCTCGAGACCAAGGTACCAATTATCGCGACTGGCTACAGCCCCTGGGATATGGAGCAGGATGTGGAATTTCTAAACAAGAGATTCGGAAATGAGATGGATATCCTCCTGGAGCCTGGTGAAAACCTGTTCCGAAGTCTGCGTTGGGATCTCAACGATCTCGACCCTCACGACGTCACATGCAGCAACTGGGGAGTGTACGCGTTCCGCGGGAAAAGGTACGAGGCGACAAAGAGGGATGAAGAAAAGGAGGTACATAGTGAGAGGACTGAATGATTATGAGCTGTATCAATGGTATGTAATACTCGCTGTATCAACAAGCTGTATAACCATTATCAATACGCTTCGAGAGCTTTGAATCTATTAGGTCCAAGATTGGCAATGCGAATTTGCGTCCAGACTAAGTGGATATAAGACTTTGACGATGGATATTTACATTCTCACGACGTATGATTGTAACGTTGATGTACGAACTACTCGGAGACTTTCTCCACGAGCCAGCACATGCGATCAATTGATAGCGCTTCGTATTACATCGTAAACATATTTACAATCGACGAACGAGCTTCCGGCTGCTTCTCATACTCATTCATTCAGAACATCACGTCTAGTGACATCCAGGCGTGCACACGCCTCCGTAGCAGTAGCACACCTGGCGCTTGACCTTGTCGCGGCATCCAGGAGTGCAGAAGCCGCCGTAGCAGTAGCACACTTGGCGCTTGTCGATGGCCTAGTGCCGTTAGCATATAAAACCCGTAATAAGAGGATACGAGACTCACCAAACCCTGAACAAGCTCGCTGGTGAGCGAGTCACGGACTTGGATGGAATTGGCCTCGGCTGCGAGAGCGTGTCAGTCGGTATATAGTTGCGGGTGGCATTGTATAGGGGCCGGAAGCTTACGAGCAGGGGCGGAGAGAGCGGAGCCCAAGAGAGCGGCAATGGTGATTATTTGAGCCGGAAACTTCATGATGGTGTTTTTGAGGCGTATTCGAGTTGGCAGTGTGATTTTCTTGCCATGCGAACGACGCCGGGTGGTGTTTATATACTTACGGATTCGTGGTATACTGACGGCTGCTGGTTGTTGGCTGCGCGTCACTTCACACTCCAAGACACCACCCGGAAGATTATATGCGCCGTTTCGCCTTATAAAATTAAATTCCGATACAGCAATAAGATGCGGAATCCTCAATCCGTTGAGTAGCCGCATAGAGTAAATCCAGAGTATTACGCGGTGTAGATCCACATGTTGACGGAGAGTGTGCCCGCATAAACCTGCACTAACGACAATGCACCAAACATCGCCTTTTCCAACACATCCTCTCCGCCATCGCCACGCCACTACTCGTTACCATTAACCAGGCGCTATTGAAAGACTGGTGGAACGGCCCGCCACCCCACAGCGACCTTCCGGACCGGGTGAAGATGATGGGCGTTGGTGGCTGAGCCGCACGTCAGTGGTCAGCAACAAGCCGTCGGTTTCTAGTCGCGTCATTTTCGAGATTTCAATAGTTCCAAGGCTGCCGTTTTCCGATCTGATCCTTTCCAACTCTATACTAATTGTCTTGGAGTCTGACATGAGCACAGGAGTTGGTGTTACATGTCCGGAAAGATGACTACAAGTGGCCCTAGCGCCATGTACGTGGCATCGGAGGCCTTACAAAAGTCCTACCAGAGACGTCACAACATGCAGCATCCAACACAAGCAGGTCACGATCGAACGCCTGAACGCGGGGGAGGCATCCCTATGTATTCCTTTCGGCAACCCATTGGCTTCAACTCGGACCGCGCATCCTAAGCCCAGAAGCCCGCGGCCTTGAGGCCTGCAATCGTTCCCCGGAAGCCAACCACCTCCTCCGGGTCAATTTCCAGCTGCTCTGGGCTAATAAAGTCTTTTGTAACTTCCCATGGATCACACGCCTCTCCGTACTTGAATTGGAGTGATAGCTCGGCACCCACGACGCCGTGCAGCTTGGTTGCCGTCTCGGCGCTGATCTCAGCAAAGACGCACTTCTTGCCCGTCACCTCGCACCACATATCCACCATTTCTTGGAACGTCCACTTTTCCAATGCAACGTTGGAGCAGCGGCCAAACGCCTTGTCTCCAGCGGCCAGGACCTGCCTAACCCAGATGCCGGGGTTCACCGTCATGTCGCCGGCAAGAAGGACTTTGGCGTCGGGCTTCGTAGGCATGGCCTGGATGTATTGGCCCGTTCCAGGCTGTCGGGGTCAGTAAGCCAGCATATCATTGAGATGGAAGTTAACATACGTATTCAAGAGGCTGGCACATGGGGAAAAAGGCCATGTTTTGCGGATAGTACCCAAAGTACAGATACGTGGTGATTGCGGCAAGCTGGGGGAGCTCCGCCTTGATGCGAGCATCGACATTGGCCTTGTAGTCCATGTGCGGCACCTCCATATGGCCCCAGAACCGGCGCTTCGCACTCGGACATGTCGACCAGATGTAGTGCTCTACGGTGCGTGAAGCGGCAGCCGCCCGTGCCAGGTTCATGCCATGCCGCTCTTCGATTTCGCCGCACTCGTGCTGGCTCTTACCTTGGAAAAGAGATTCCCACCAGTTTGTTACGGCAAAGACGGCATGTACTCCGTCGAAAGCAGCAGAAAGGGATGCTTCGTCGTCAAAGTCTCCCCTCACCACCTCGATACCCTCCTTTGCGAGCTTCTTAGCAGCGTCGCCGTCAGGGTTTCGTGTAATTGCACGGACCCTCCAGCCTGGCGTCTTCTTCATAACGTTTATTACCCCGCCGCCCTGGCTTCCTGTGGCGCCTGTCACGGCAATAATCTTAACCTTGTGGTCTGGATACTCTTGGATCGCGCCCGGTAGTCCGCTCTTCTCTCCATGCACCATTGCAAACCACGGCTCAAAGACGGCCTCGGTCCGCTTTGCGAACGCGCCGCTCTTGTACCCCGGGTGGCCCCAGTCGACGAGTTTATCATGCGCGGCTTCGATCAGCTGGCCCGTCTTGCTATTCTCCGAGTCATTGAGAAAAAAGTCAAACGCTGAAATCAGTGTCGATTTGGTCGTCATCTGTTCGGCACGGAAAGCTTTGCTAAAATCAGGCATAGCAGGCGTTTCGACACCTCCAGGCATCACGCAATTGACCGTAATGTTCTCCTTGACCCGAAGGATGGGCCCGACGGTCCTGACCCATTGCTGAGTGGCCGCCTTTGCACCGCAGTACTCAGGGAACGTTTGGCATGGATAGATGCCAATCATGCTGCCGGTCACGATGATCTTTCCGCCCTTGCCGCCAGGGTTGTGGCGCATAAAGTGGGTTGCCAATGTGGTTCCGTAAATGGTGCCCTTGAAGTCGGTATCGGTACAAGAAGTGTCGGGCTCAGAAGGCAGATCGTCGACACGCGCATCCCGGCGTGCAAAGTTGTAGACGGAGCCGCGATCCACGCAGCCAGCGTTGGCAATGAGAAGATCAAGTCGGCCCCACCTTTTCCAAACGGTTTGGAACAGATTGGCTTGTGAAGAGTAGGAGCTCACATCGCACTGCACAAAGATGGCAGTGTTTCCAGACGCGTCGATGGACCGGGCGACTTGCTGACCTTCCTTATCCCGCCTACCACAGAGAGCCACGCGGTAGCCACCACGGTGGAGGTGCTCTGCCAACCATGAACCAATGCCACTCTTTACACCTGTTAGTATGCCCGATTGACTAAAGAGGTATGTCTGACGAACCGTAGCACCGGTAACGATGGCGACCCTTTGGTCGGATTGCGAAATCGAGCCCATATCCACGAGTTCCTATTGGGCTCCGTACAACAAACTTTGGAATGACGCTTTATATCGACAACGAACAACAGATATAGTCTTATCATGCAGGTACGTCGATGGCAACGTCTTTGAATACTTTCTACAACCCTAAACTCTATCGGAATCCCCGCGGACGCCAACGAGGCCCGATACCTTATTTGCTCTTACATGCGGCGCAGTCGCTATAGAGCCCCCAGATACACGAGTTAGCTCGGTTTGCATCTCCTCTTTTGTCGGGCCGACCGCGCGTAGCCATGCGTCCGAGGATCAGCAGCATACGGCGATCCATGCTCGATCGCCGCAGTGAAACCGACATGGCCATAGTTTCTTTGCGATGCGAATCCGGCACGACGGCAAACCTACCAAACACGACTCAGGAGACATGCAGTTGCAATGCTGCATCTTACATCGATTCAATCTATAGACGTGGCTGTAGCTGACTCGGCCATCAACGCAGGATAGATCAGTTGTCAAACTTTGGTCCGTGTCCTTATCAAGTCAAATCATTCAAAAGGCATAGGCCAGTCAGGCCACGGATCGAGGTCTTCAGGAGTAGATACGGCTGTCACGCGGCGGTGGGAAAACGGCCGTTATCCAATGTAAGCGCCAACGCGGCACGGGTCTTGGCATGGTGTGAGCAGGTTGCGGATGCAAAACAAGGATTCAAGAGGGGTAGGTGCAAGTATTCACGAGCAACGGTTGGACGTTGGCATGTGGAGAAAGGAGTGCCTCGTGCTTAAATGCATGTCCTCGGGTGGCTGTGGTAGGTGCAGTCTTTTCCGCACGAAGACTAGATACGGTGTAGACAAATCATCACTGCCCTTTGACATTCTGCTGTAGCCAACCACGGCCAGCAGCAATGCAAGGGCGGCGTCTGTGTCCTCGGCCCTTCTGATCGCGACGAGATACCTCAGACTGTGGTTTGCCATGCAGTCCAAATTGTCGGGAGCGTGCGCTGCCTCACCTCATCCTGACCTTTGCACCCAGTCTTGTTTTGGCGAATGATCTACGCAAAAGGCGTTTGAGAAATCACAGTACGAGCACCGGTTCCGATTGCTACCGGGAGAGGATTAGAGTTTTTTTTTTCCTTTGAGATGCCCACCTATAGGTAGAAGTACATCTCAAGCACGCATTTTTCCTCATTACATTCCGAGTTTTCCGTCTTTTGCTGCGTGAGACCATGCCTCGACGGCTGCCAATCGAAAATGGAACTCAAGTTGGTATCATTGTTGCCTGTACCGTGTCAATGTCCATAGCCATCATTGCAGTCGGCCTGCGGCTTGTCGCCAAAAGGATCCGGAACAGGATTGACTACAGCGATTACTGCATCATCATAGCCTGCGTGAGTCGAGTGGTTTGAAAGATGTATCCAGACTGACGTGAGCTAGCTGTGGAACACGGCAATGCAAGGATGCTGCATCTCGATGGTCACCTATGGCGGCTTTGGGTTCCATACCCGCGAAGTTTTCACTCGCTTTGGGCCAGCCACGGCGAGATACTTCTTCAAGGTACGCAGACAGGTCGTTTGATTGAGCTCAGCCCTAACGGTTTCAGGGAATCATGACCTTTTCGATCCTGTGGAACGTCGTCGTGGGATTCAGCAAGGTATCCGTGTTGCTCATGTACACGACATTGATACCAACCATCAAGATGATAAGATGGGCCAAGATGCTCGGAGCTCTCATCGTCCTGTGGTGTCTTTCGGATATTGCTGCTGCCCTGCTGATTTGCAGGCCACTGGCGAGGAACTGGGACTTTACGTTGCCGGGAACGTGCGGAAGTCAGCCCGACTTTTACTTTGCAATGGGCGTCGTCAACCTCATCACGGATGCGGTCCTCATTGCTTTGCCCATGCCCTACCTCTACAAACTGGCCATGCCGAAGAGGAAGAAGTTTCTCGCAATGGGACTGCTCAGTATCGGATTAGGGTGAGTGCTTTTTACAACACTCTTCTTCCTTGCTAATAGTTGTAGAACCTGGGCCATCACCATCTACCGGCAGACCTTGCTGCCTCACCTCGACTTCACCGACATGACCTACGCCGGTGTGCATGCCACGATTCTCTCCGGTCTCGAGCCTTCGGTCGCCATCGTGCTGGCATGCATTCCGCTGATGCGCCCCCTTTTCGGAAAGTCCAGGAACAGCGCAGACACTGGCTATGAGTACGGATCTTCGGGCAAGGCGAGTTATTTCTCCAAAAAGAGTGCCGGTCCACACAACATGGACCCCACGGCCACATTCTCCGAGCTGGTGGACAACAGCGACGATTCTTCGCAGATTGAATTGCGGCCCGTGGAGGGGATCCAGAGAGTCTGCATTTCGTCCGATGAAGAACGGCCGAGGAAGAAGAACAAGACTCTTTCGGCCCACACCATCAGCGTCGAGCGAAAGTGGGAGGTGAGGACTGGATAGGTCAGGCCACTGCAGAGCACAATTGTCACTTTGTTGACCGAACCGACAATGGGAACTGAACTAGAAAAAGCCAATATATTTACGAAAACATGGTGATATGGATCCCATTGATGAGCATTCCGGCCAGAAATGTCATCCTGGACTAGTACACAAGCTGCAGGCTGTCGGCGCATCATGGAGAATCTCCCCACGCCACAACGGACAGTGCACTCGCAAACCCAAACGGCCAGGATCTTCAACGGCGCAGATGCTGCCGCCAGAAAGAGAAAGCCAAGACGTTACTCTGAGACAGGCTAAAATCCTTAAAAGTCAGAAGAGGGATAGCGCTCCAACCCTATTGATCCTTCCGACATGGCCCCTGTCCTCAAAAAGGACGCCCCTCGCTTAAGCCCTTTTTTTTCGGCGACTCTACAGGCCAGGGCAGCGTTGGCACCGCTTCCTCGCCTCGAGCTTCTTCATCGCGTGCGTGTACTCCTTCTCATACTGCTCGTCCCTGTCGACGCTGACAACGGCGGGCGTATCGGCACGTGGGACGTGCTGCTGGCCAGCCATTAGAAAGGCACGGTCGTGGAAGCAGGAGCAGAGAGAGGGGGAATGGGCATACCGATTTCTCAGTCGCAAGAGCCAAGTCTTCGGGGCGAATGACGGCGGCGGGTGGATGGATTGCGGATACAGGCACCGGGTCGGCCACAACCATGACGATCTTGATTGGGCGCGTCTCGACGGGCGAGTCTTGAGCGATGGGACTGGCCATGACGACGCTGGCGGCCGCGGCGGCGACGAGAGGGAGAGCCGAGTGATGCATTTTGATGCGGTTTGATGGGCTGTGGAGGAGACTTGCTCAGTCAGATTGTGAAAACTTTGGCTTCACTTGGACATACCTGGATTTTGTATCGAGTATCTCTGAGGAGAAGAACTGGCGGCACTGGATACGAGGTATATAAGCTTCGCTGGAGGAAGAACCATGGAACTCACGGGCGGGTCAATATTGCGTCTCCGATGATGCTCCTCCGGGACGGGGACTCTAGTTCTGGGGATTTGCGAGGAGTGCCGTCGGATACGGGTGAAATTGTGTGTATCTGGTTCTTCAATAGTGCGGCATTACATACTGTGTACATGTACAGTCTGCTGTTGACTGGGCGACGCTCTTGGAGGTGGAATGGGATTACATCACCATCTGATTGGAACAGTAATATGGGTTATGAAACCATGGGATAAGAGTGAGCCAAGGATTTTGCAGGAAGCCGACCCGTGTTTCTGCTTGATATCCAGATGATGCGATTGTATCCGAAGACTGCGATGCGGGAGACTCGTACGATGAGCTGACGGCTTGATTGCGTTCGACTTACCATAGCCAGATACAGAAAAAAAAACAGCTCCAGTTAGAATGAAAGCATTTTCATAAAGAAACAGTAACCATTCCATGCTATACCCAGATTCCCAACGCCTTGATATCCCCCGTTCTTCCATTCGCCAAGATACAAACGACCACCTGACGACCCCATTTTCCGTATTTCACGAGAACCCATGAAATCGCAGTTATATCAATATGTAGTCATGTCCTGACGCACAGAGTCAGCTTCCACCCAGGGCAATTGTGAAAACCCGGCTTTTTCGCATCCAAAAAAAAGCAGGCTGGCAAATGGCGAGTTTCTCAAAGGTAATCAAGCTCCACACTGTCCACGCGCATATCAAAAGCATTATCTTTGAAGGGGAATGGATGTTGCATCTGGTTTGTACTTTTCTGCCAGCTACCTCGTATCCATCTATCGTCGTTAAACTCAACCTCCCATCCATCCATCCACCCAACTCCCCCACTCCAACCCGTCAAGCAAAATCCAACTCCACCTCCAACAAAATCCACCACCATGTATTTCCCCAGCCTCTCCCCCCTGTACCCCCTCACATTCCTCCTCCTCGTCATCGCCGTCACCCCCACCAAAGCGCGCAGCCGGCTCCCGCTGCCGCACGTCTACGGCCCACTGGACCGCGGGTGTCCCTCGACCACCGTTACCATGCGCGTTACGCAGACGCAGACGAGGATCCGGATTGCGACGAGATGTCCTGGGGATGCGAGCAATAACTGGAGGGACTGGAAGGTTTAAGGGGGGTTGCGTGCTGTTGGGATGCATGTAATGCGTTTTGGCATGCATGAAGGGAGGGAGGGGAGATTGGGCAACCCAAGGTCACTTCAAGTCGAGCAAAGCCAAATCGAGGCAACGCAAGTCAAGTCCCACGTCAATCCATATCAAATCAATCGGCAAAAAGAAAAAACTGGATACCAAAGTACGGCGTTAGCAGGTACATTTTCCCCTCCCAATTCCCAATCTCCTTCCTTGTCATTTTACCTTGGCTAATCCCCAATAAAAACAGAGGTTGTTTTCTTTCTCTCTTCTCTTTTTTTCCTATTTCCTCCTGGTCTGATTCTACACCTGCTATTTTATTCATTTTTCGTGTCGGCATTTGGTGGATTTTTTTTTACACCGCTGGAGCGATATTACTTTGTGGGATTAATTGTAACAGCAATAAAAAGTCTTTTTGCAGCTAGAAACAAAGGCATTCATGTGACTTGTGAGCTTGGTGAGTCCATTAAAAAGGCCAACCATCGTCTTGGACTAGGTTACTTAGACCAATTTCGTTTTTGGATGATGGAGTTTACAAGTGAGACAGGAAAAAATACAAGAAGAAGAAGAAGAAGCAAAGAGAAGCAGAGGGGATACGAATTCTGAAATGTATGTACAATGCCGCCCCTCCCCCAAATAGGATATTCCAACCGTCTACAAGGCCAAATCTAGGATATCAAAAACCATAAAATTCCATTCTATCCTCATCTCAAAGAAGAGCAAAAAAAATAAAATAAAAAAAAACCCCGCAAATCATTTCAAACCCCCGGATACGGCACCACGCCCTCAAACATCCGCACACAATCGCCCAAATCACGGTTCTGCGCCGCAAGCCGCATTTTCATCTTGACGATATTCTCCACAAAGCAGGTGACAGCATGCGTGCCCTGGACGGGGGCATACGCACTTAATCCCCTGGCAACGACATTCTTCTTGCCGCCCTCGTTGCGCGCTAGTTCGACGATGACGGGGACATCGGATACGTCGAAGATGGCCGAGTCGTTGAGATCGAATTCGGTGGATTGGCCCGTGAGTTGGCGCCAGGTGCGGGGCCAGTGGATGTCGTTTTCGCGGCGGAAGTCTTGGCGGCCGAAGAAGAAGAGAGGCGGGTTGTTGATGCGGTGCGTGAGGAGAGGCGGGGTGCCGGAGAGGTTGATGCTGACGAGTGTGCTGCTGCTGCTTGCGTTGGCGCTGGTGCCGAACGAGGTTGCGACGGTGCCGCCGAGACCGTGGCCCAGGATGCCGTGGGAAGTTGTGTTGAGGGCGGAGGAGAAAGTGAAGCTGGGGAATTGGGTTGGGAGGAGAGAAGGGGATGCGAGCTGCGAGAGGACAAAGCGGATGTCTAGAGTACGCGTTTCGAGCGCTTTGGAAACGGTGCCGTTCCATGCTGTCAGAGGAGACAGGTTGGAGAGGGCGACGGTGCCGCTATTGTAGATGGTTGAGGAGGGGAACTCGACAATGGAGGTGTCGCCGGGGTGGTCGACCAGGACGACTGCGGCGCCGTTGGCAGTGATGAAGCGCGCCATGGTCGAGTACAGTAATCGGCTCGTGTCGACATGCGCTTCCAGCACCACGACTGGGATCTTGCTGGCGTCAATCCTTGCAGAGCTCTTGCAGCAGACGCTATATTGTATGTCTTCAAAGACGCCTATATCGCGTTGGCCGCCGACGATGAACTGCTCGTTGGCAATCCTCGCCGTCTGGAGCGGCATGTACGCAACCTGGCACTCCTTCGAGCACGAGTCTTTTGGAACAGGCATGAACAGGCTGACCATGACGCTCCGGTTTTCAGTAGGGCGGTATGGATCTTTGCGTGAGGTGTCGGTTAGAGGAGAGTGAGAGACAGCAACCTTGTACCCGTGGTTGTTGTCTGCGCCAGGGATCAGGATCGCATGGCTGCTGCTAGGGAGCACTGAAAGCACAATGGCTATAATCGAGACGAGAAAAGCTACCATGCTGAACGCTCGGATAAGTGTTGAGATGTATGGATTGCAGCGCCGGGGGGCGGGACTGAGTTTTGTAGGCGTAGACATTGGGTGCGAGCATTGCTTATAATCTGCAACCGTTGCAGCGCGTGCAACTTATTACTTACGGAGAGAATGTTTGAGAGTACTCAGGTGAAAGCGCCAGTGTGACTGAGCCTGATGATTGCAGCCCGACTTGTGTACAGTGGTCGTGTGACTGTCACCACGTGCTCGGTGTAGGAAAATGGTGAGACCAACACAACGGTGAACTGGTGGCTTAGCCTCTTGGATACTCGATGGTGTGATGAAAGCCTGTGATTGATTTTGCTTGGTGTGTTGACATGCGCGACTCTTGAGAACTGCGCCAAGGCGGTAGTTGGTGAATCCATCTCGAGTAGTCTCAAAAACAGCAACCCAATTCTCAATCCTAGTATTCGATGTAGGTTCAAAGTTCAAGCTCTAATTAACACTGCTTCAACCAGCGCAGTTGACTGTATCAACATTGTTGATGTAATATGGCGACATTCATGTCATGTGACTTGGCATACTCCAGATAGCAAGCGCCGACACGCATAAAGATGAACCTCGAGACTTGTTAGCACAGCAGAAAGAGTATTGCTTGAACAACTCAATATAATACGAAACTCCATCGCAAGTATAACGGGTCTGCATTATTCTTAATCAAATAACCTCCGTCTAAACTAAAACCCAAAGTGAACATATCGTGGCGTCGTTAGAGAGGGTATAATGTAATATGGAGAGGAGTGTCGCAGGCAAGGGCGGTACTGTGACGGCCTAAAAACGTGTTTAGCTCGACTCTAGAGACGAAAGAGACAACCTCTTCCGTTTCTCCAGAGGAAGCCTCTTCCACATTCCAACATGCTCAATGCCCTCTTCGAACCAATGAGGCTCAGCCGCTATTTCGACCTCGCCTTCCTCGTTCTTTAGCTCTTCATGAAATCCGTGCTTCTCCCACATGGACTGCAGGTTTGCTTGGGCGTGAATCATGACAAGACCCTGCCATGTAATCTCCTTCTCTTTGGCATGGCCTAGGATCTGGGCCATTTCTAGTGCCGTGGGGGATGGAGGTCGGTAGATTGCATCAGGGTTCGATGTGGCATAGTCGAGGGCAGTATTGATGAGCAGCTTGGCAAGACCGAGACCACGATAGGGTGCGCGAACGGCAAGTCTGCCAAGCTTGATGTAAGGCTCCGCTGGGTGCTTGTTATCGTGGTCCTGCGACGGGGGATCTGCATCCGGATGCTTGTCCGGTTTGTGCTGTTGGATATATTTGTTTGGGCCGTGAGGCGGGGGAATGAGGCGGATCGTCGCCACTGGGACACGCGTAGCGGTAGCAGAGGCGCGGCGGGCGTCATCGGCAGGCGTATTGCCCGAGTCGGAGCGGCGCAGCACCTTGGGAGGTGTGGTGTGGTGTGTGGCGACGGAGGCGTAGGCAACCCAGTGCCAACTGCGCGCATCGTCTTGGTCAAACTCGGCTTCCAGAGGGACGCCCTGCTCGCCAAAGACGTCCTCTCGAACGGCCATGGCGTCGCAAAAGTTGGGCGGGACATGTATCGATTGCCGGGAGCACGGCAGCGAGTTGTCGTAGCCGTCGAGGGCGCCCTTGAGCGGGCATATCGTGTTGACAAACTCGGTGCCTGTATTCGGGGACTCGGGCGAGGCGGTGCTGGGCGAGCCGAAGCCGCCCTTGAGTACGCTGGTCATGGCGATGGGTGGCGCGTTGTCGTGCGAGTTTGTGGATGGAGTGGTGTTGGGGAGGTGGAATAGTCGAGGCAGTCGTCGTCTTCAGGCTGAGATCTAGGCCAACCCTGCCTTAAAGTCGGGTGCGATATATGCGATGGAGAAGCCGGGACCCAGGCCAAAGCCAGCGGTGAATATCATGCAAAAAGCGCAGTTTCGGCCCCGGTGGCTTCAGGCTCAGGGTCCTCGGCGGCAGACCTAGCCTCATAGCGGCAGCAGTGCTGGAGATCAGAGAGAGATGGGCGAGTGAAGGTTGAGTTGGGCTTGGAGGAGTGCCCCACCACTGCACATGCACATCGGTGGGTGATGTCACCAGCCAAAGACGCTTGGCCGGCCCGCACGGGACACGACGGCACCGCCTCCGAGCGCGAATCATAGGCGCGCATCCACCATGTGCTATGAACAGTGTAGGTATAGATGGAGCCTGCTGGTTGTGGCCTGTACGCATACGTAGGTGTAGGTGTAGTAGTAACAGTAGTAGGCATAGTAGCATAGACATGATAGCGCACGCAATGATGCCTGACTCTGCCACGGCACCATCGTCGCCCAACGGCCCTGGGTATTGCATTACAAACATGACGTATATCCATATCCTACAACCGCGACCGCTCCTCCAGGCCCTTTGCAATCCCCCTACTGATCCAGTCGCTAATCGCCATGTTAGTCACCATGGGATTGACCCCACTGGCGCTGGGGAACACGCTCGCGTCGGCCACGTATAACCCCTCGGTGCCCCAAACTTTGCCCTGCGGGTCCACCACCCCGTCCCTTTCGCGCGCACTCATGCGACAGGTGCCCATCTGGTGCGCAGATATAAACATGCTCTCTGGCGACGGCAGCCCCTTGGCCCGCACCTCGTCAAGCCACACCTGGAACTCTGCGTCGTTGATGCCATCGCCGTCTGCCGCCGACGGGTTGCGAATAAAAGGCCTCAGCCCGGGCTGGGTAGTGAAGATTTGCTCCGCGCCCTCGACATACTGAATCTTGGCCAGGCCCAAAAGACCCTCGAGTATGTGCTGCCGGTCAAACTTGCTAACCGGGTACGAGAAGCGCACCTTGCCGTCGACGGGATCCGCATACACTCTGCCCGAGTCTCTGTCCTTGGCAATCGAGATGTACCCGACCATGTGCTTCAGCCTCGCCGCGTCCAGCTTGTATTGCAAGCCTCCGCCATTCGACTGTACCCACATCAGACACGCCGACGGGGCCATGTTGGTCGCTTCGAGCTTCACACCGTGGCCTTGGCCATCGAGGTTTTCAAACTCACCAACCACGGATGTCAGGATACCGCCCTCCCATGGCTTGATGTCCTGCTTGTGGTACGCACCCACAAAGGTAACGGGATGGACGTAAAGATTGCGCCCAATGTGCGGGTTCGAGAGGCCAGACCGCATCAACAACAAAGGCGATTGCATGGTACCCGCCGACACAACCACTCGCTTTGCCTTGATCACCACCTTGCGCCGGTTCATGGGAGTGCCCGCTACGCCGCCATTGATGTCGCGCGACACCCAGGTGCCTTCGACGCCCGTTGCTATCTGGCTGCCGCGCTCATTGGAGAAGAGGACCTTTTCGGCATGGAAACCTTCAAGGAACCTGGCGCCTGCGCGAGCTGCGTCTGGGAGAAAGGAAACGGCGGGCCCCTGCTTTTCACAAGAGCCACAGCCGAAGGTACAGTGGCCACAGTAGTGCTGCTTGCCACCAGTGTTCTGTGGCACTGGCTTGGCAGTCCATCCCAGCTTCCGGGCGCCCTCGAGCAGTATCTGGTTGGCTGGGTTGTGCTTGATGTGCTCAGCAGACACGCCCATGCGCTCGCAGACACGATCCAACGACTGCTGGAAATCGGCCGACGTGAAGAAGGGCAGGCCCTGTGCTGCCCATTCGCGGCGGACATAGCCCTGGGTCTGGAGAGAGGCAGACCAGTTGACGGTTCCGCCGCCACCCCACGTCTCGCCCGCAACAATGGACAAGGCGCCGTCGTCCGACGTCAAAAAGGCCCCATTCATGAACAGATGGTTCCAGCCGTCGGCTTGGGTCATGGGGAAGTGGTCTGGGGTCCAGTGGTAGCCCTTTTCCACAATCAAGACGCGGTGCCCTACTTCGGCCAGATTCTTTGCACTTACACCGCCTCCGCACCCACTACCCACGACGAGCACATCCGTCTCAATGACTTCGGGCTCGTCGCCTGGGGGAATGTGTATAAACTCGTAGTCATAGTCCTTGCCGGGCTTCATGCCCACGGGGACTCGCGGTACGCCCAGGACACGCTGCAAGGCGGGCGACGTCTTGACCCAGGCCTGCTTGCTAAGGACGGCAAGCGAGCTGTGCAGTTGGCGAAGCGGCCATATGCGCGAGTCCTGCCAGCTGCGGAGGATTGACTGTCTAATGTGAACCGGCTGGGCGCTAATGGGTGCAAGATAGCCAGTCATGACCAAGGACCCCGCTCTTGTGTCGAGGGCACTTAGCACCATGAGCAGCTCGTTCCGCTGGCTAACGGGCATATACACTGCAAAGATGCGTTGCAGCTCTGCACGGAACGCAGGATGCTGGCTTGGGACATCTGCCAAATAGCCCTTGGCCGTCGACTCGGCATCAGCATCGCTCTCGGGAATGCGTGCCCTCAGCGTGCTGACCGCGGCCGCGTAGTCTGTGTCTGCAGCGGGCTGCTCCGAGTCTGGCTTTGCGGCAGACGCGGGCGTGATGGCGGGTATTATCGCGTCGGCAACGGCCAGCAGCGTATTCCATTGCTCGGGCGTGAGCGGATCCTCAGAGGGAAGCGGACGCAGAGGTGTAGCTTTCGGCGAGACCGGGTCGGGCTGTGGTGTTGCCATTTGGCCACGTAGGTTGGGACCTTCAGGGATGTCCTTGGTTTCACGGGCAAGCGCTCAAAGGGTCTTTCAAGTGGAGCAATGGACTGAGTATGCTATGTAGACGTAGGCGCGTCCGTCTTTAAAATAATCCAGCGCTGGAGAGAGGGCGAAACGAAGAGAGGCGCCGCGTGGCCATGGTCGCAAGCACTTCCATTGTTGATGCTGATACTGATGCCTCGGCCCAGCTGCGAGCGCTTGCCGCACCATGCGAGCTCGGGCCTGGCGTTTTGGAGTGTGTGAGCAGCATGCTTGACGACGACGACAGCGACAGCGACGACGAGCACCGTGTCAGGACGTGTGAGGGGACACGACAACAAAGGCGCCCGTGTTTGAGCGAGGGCGCGCGTTCAAACTTTGCAGCGTTGCTGTAATAGTCTTGCACGCACGCGGACAGAAGATTGACCGACGGCGACAGACATGGGGCGAGTCATCTGATGCAGCCCTACCACGAGCGCCGTGTCCAGAAGCGGCCATGGAGAGTGTCTGTGGGAGCATGCAGGCTACTGTGACTGTGCAATGCTCCGAAGTTGAGGCGGCATCGTGAAGCTGGCCTCACCGACGGCATATTCCAAGAGGGACGGTCCCCCTGGCGATGCAGCAGGACAAGGCAGGTGATTGGCAGTCCCACCTGGCTAGGCGAATGCAGCTGGAGTCACGATGAGTGGACGATAGACGATGGACGAAGGATGGTGGAGGGTGGAGGGTGGAGAGCGGACGATGGAGGGCGGATGCATGGATGATGGATGATGGATGGATGGTGGATGGTGGATGAGTGGACGAGTGGATGGGTGGGCGGGAGGCCAAGTGGAGCGCAATATCTTGGGTAATTGAGGGCGGGCGCCTGTGTGCAGCGACGGCTATTTTCCGAAGCATCGAGTGCAGCCACTGCCCCGCCAGTTGTTGCAGTCTTGCCGCATCTGAGCGGCGTCAAGCGTGCGGCGTCAAGTCGCATGTGGCGGCTTACTTGGCTAGTGGCGGGGTGGTGGTGATGATGGTGGTGGTGAGCGGATGCATGTGTGTATGCACGTATGCTGTATGTACGTAGGTAGTACGTACGTACGTAGACCTAGCAGCAGTATTAGCAGTCAGTGATTGTCTCTGCGGCCGCAACGGCTGCTGGCTGCCACGAGACGAGCCCCCCGCCTATGACGACGCGATCAGCGCGAGGCTGCTGGCGACGATCGATGGATGGGTAGCGGTGGTGGTATTGGCATTGGAATCGCTGCTCAGGCTTACACCTAGAGTTCAGCGACTGACGCACGCCAGGCCTCGGAGAAGGTCGAGTCGCCATGGGCCGGGATGCTTTGCATACGCGCGGCACGCCATTGGCCAGAGATAAGAGGCGTTCCCAGCCGGGCCTAGCGCGCCCCAACGGCTGGCCACCTCGAGCGCCGACGCGCCGCGGTTCGCACCACAACACAAGGCCTGCCAAAACAACGGTGCATTGCATGCGCACAGCGACTTGGACTCTTGAGCCTGCTGGCACCGTCGCTGGTTCTGTTGAGACGCCCAGATTCAGCCATGCGGGCCCGGGCATCGCGCTGGTGCTGGTGCTGGTGCTGGTGCTGGTGCTGGCAGGCCGAGTCGGAAGAGTGCGCATGGCTGGCTGGCGGCTACCATTGCCATGAGCAAAAAATATGGCCGCCGCCGGTCGTAGCCCGATGATAACCCTGTCGCCCTTCACTCTCGGCCGCCAAACACGCGGGCGTAATTCCCCATCAGGCGACCGCATCCCTCCCCCCTCCCCCCACCCAGCGCTGGTCGTTGGTAATGCCTACCAGAACGCCTGGCTGGCCTCGACTTAATTCTCCCCGTCCCCAGAGCCTCACCCCAGCCAGCTCTCCGCACTCACGCGACACACACTCTCTCTCTCCCAGTGCCCAACCGCTGCCCTCGCAGTCCACTCCAGCCTGTCCGGTCTCCTCCACCCCTCACCCACCACTACCACTGCCACTGCCACTGCCCCTCGCCGCCGCGGCCCCGGCGTTATTCTCCCATTCATCAATCACCGTTCGCCGTCGCTCTTATCGCCTGCCTGCACGGCAGTTACCAATCGACGCGCAGCCCGACTTGCAACACCACCCTATTGCAAGCCGCACGCCTTGTCCCGGGGGCCTCGCTGCCAGGGTCATCTCGGTTGCACCGTTGCAGGCATCCTGATTGCCTTCCGCCCTGTCTGTACCGCAAACGCGACACATCGGTTCCTGCCCTATCGCACCAATACCCAAGAGGCCCTTTCACCGCCTGAAACCCTCGCTGCCAGCAAGGCTCCGGCAGGGCTACGTCTTATACCTCTTCCTCGCGCTTCCGCCTCGTCACTGCTCTCGTCCTCTCCACGCCATCCCGCGACACGACACGCCCACCATGGCCACGACCTACTCGACCACGACAGCCTTCCCCCAGCACCAGCACCACCAGCACCAGCATGCGCCCTACCAACACCACGCATACCGCAAGTCGACACACTCGCAGTACTCGCCCACCAACACAAGCATCAACACGCCCGCAAACATGTCGCCCACGTCGCCGCGAACCACACAGCTGCCTCTGGCCCGCCACCAGGGCATCTACCAGCCCAGGACCGCCATCGGTATCCCCGCTGCACTGCGCAAAACCGAGCGGCCCGCCAGTAAATCGCCGCCCAGGCTCGACTCGGCCATGGATCCTCCCAAGAGCCCATGGGCAACAACGGCTGGCTTTGGCTGGCCTGCAAACGACGGTAGCGCGACACCCGTGTCCAACATTGGCAACGAGGACATGCAGAGCCTCTACAGCGCCGAACCCCTGTCGCCCGTTGGCGGCCCAATCACACGCAACCACTGGCAGGTAAGTCAATGCACTCTTCTTTTTTGTTTCTCTGCCCCGCTTGCTCTGGCACACTATGCTTGTCGCGTGCTCACTTGGGGCTGAGGGTCCCGTCTTACGTACATGGCCAAAAGTGGAGCCTGCTTAGCGCATCGCGCTGCTCAGTCGTCCCGCGCTGTGCAGAGCCGAGATGCCGAGACTTTTGTGCTGGCTGCCTCGTGTCCACAAGCATGTCGCCGCCCAGCAACAACACTCGATAGTGTCGCTTGGTACCTGGGCTGCTGCTTGCCGCCCGTCTTGTCCAGAGCCCACAGGCGCCGCGGCTTGCATCGCTCTCGGAGTTTCTGCTGTCCCCAAGCCCCGACACACGTGGTCTTTCTGCGCTCAGACCGGCCGCCCCCCCACGCCACGCTAGAGCCTTTACCCGATGCAGGGTTCCCTCTCATTAGCCAGCCCACACGCTTTTCTGCTATTGAAAGCCCAAGCCAACGGTACTGACAAACTTCTTTAGGCAGATGGATCCACCATGGTATGCTCGGCCTCGTCGTGCCAGGAACCCTTTGGCTTCTTCCAGCGCCGCCACCACTGCCGCAAGTGCGGTGGCATCTTCTGCGCACAGCACTCTCGCAACCAAGTCCGCCTCGACGAGCTGGCGCGCTTCCACCCCCAGGGCCAGTGGCATCGTGCCTGCGACCGCTGCCACAGTTCGTTCCGCGAGTGGGAGCATCTCCGCTCCAGCCGAACTAACAGCGAGAGCTCCGACAGTAGCGGCCCGGCCCCAAAATCCATCGAGACGCCTGCCGCTGCAAAGCGGCCTGACACGACCCGCGTGGGTAGCTTAGCCCAAAGCCTCCAGGGGACGTGGAACTGGAGCACCTTCTAAACCACTCGGCGTCTCGACGGTCTGGGCCTCCACCGCCCAGTCCCACGTTTCCTAGTCATGTCATACCTTCTCTTGATATCCGGGTGACTGTGATGGCTTCGGCATCGGTCATTCCACCTTTTCCGGCTTCGAAACGAAGCCCCTGCATAACATTTGCATAGTATTGGCGTCTTGCTTCATCGGTCGGGTGGCCTTTTGTCATTTGCATTTCAGCGTTTTCATTCCGTCTCTTTCCTCAAACACTCATAGAAACTAGTCTCTCCCTTTGTGGAGTCGACTGTATAACGGCCGAGGTATCCCGAGTAATGATTGTCGGCTCGAAATTACGTACGACTAGACGATTTCGGTCCATGGATGAGGGTGGGGCGACGACGATGGCTGGAGGATGGTCGGAAGACGGCTGCGTGGTTTGTTAAATGTCTTCATGTCTGTTTACGTATGTACTGTTATATTCCGTCGACATGTGTGAAGCCTTCGGGCCATATGATACGACCTAGAGGTCGTTAGAATCAACATTGGTATAATCTGATACGTGGAGCATGGCAAGTGTACTCGCGTCAAGGCAGAGGGGGTGCCTATAAGCCATGAATCGGCGTCGTCATGTGGTACCTTGATGGCGTGATCCCAATCGGGTGGGCAAAGGATACGCCATGACCAATGGCTGAGCAACGTTGATTGTGTTCAAAGTGCGATATTTGTATGCATGTGAAGAGAGGTGTCGGTTTGTCAAGGGGCTGTGCGATGAGGCATCGGGGTTGTCGACGAAGAAAAGTTCTTTTTACGGCTGGTGCATCGGGAAGGATCGAGTACGTGGTGCAACAGCACACGGCCAATCACAACGTCGGCGGGAAAAGGATCGAATGACCAAAAGTAAATATGCGACACCAAACTCTGCGACACTGCACACAGCTGGTAACTCCGACAAACGTTTGGTCAACGCTCGTTTGTCCTGGGCTCATCCGGAGCTTTGGCCGACGCCGATTGGTCGACGCTTGCGGAGCCCTCGATGTCGTTTTTTTCTCCCGCCATTCATCATGACTACAACCCTTGTCTGTGATCAGTCCTCGAACCGTGCCAGCGCGTGCATGATATCCCGGTCAGCTTGAGCAGTATTTACTACTTCCAAACCATACGTTCCTCTCTCTTCAAGGTGTTTGGGGGCGCATTCGCCCCCACCAAGGCGACACGACTGTCGAGGCGACATTTTGTGATCATGGCGACTGAGACGACACAAACGGTGCAGGCGGAGGTTGCAGGAGCACTGCGTAATGGAGAGGCACAGAAGAATGGGAAGCCGCGAAAGTTGCATGGGCGCGCATTCTACGAGAGCATTGGAAGTCCGAAGCTTGTGCTGGCTCCTATGGTGGAACAGTCAGAATTTGTACGTTCCGTCATCGTACACGCAAAATCAGGCTGACATTGTATCGACGACAGGCATGGCGACTCCTTTCGCGCTCTTTCCTCCCTCCGTCCGAGCAAAAATCCCTCCTAGCGTATTCGCCCATGTTCCACTCCAAGATGTTTGGCGAGAAGAGCCAGTACCGGGATTCGCATTTCCAGCCGCTCAAGTCAGCTCTTCCCTCGCCCGTCGACTACTACCACCTATCTCAACTGCCTGATTCGAGTAGACATCTTGACGGACATCCCGCCTTTGACAGGCCCCTCACTGTGCAGTTTTGTTCCAACGATCCAGACGACTTTCTCAGAGCAGCAAAACACGTCGCGCCCTTTTGCGATGCGGTCGACTTGAACTTGGGATGTCCTCAGGGCATTGCGAAGCGCGGAAAATACGGCTCATTTCTACAAGAAGACTGGGACTTGATTGCGAGGATGATTCGAAAGTTGCACGAAGAGTTGGAAATACCCGTCACGGCAAAAATGCGAATTCTCGAGACCCCGGAGAAGACGCTGGCATATGCAAAGACCATATTAGACGCGGGTGCCAGCATCCTCACCGTGCATGGCCGGCGGCGGGAGCAGAAAGGTCACAACACTGGGTTGGCAGACTGGCAGATGATTCGGTACCTGCGGGAAAACCTGCCGAAAGAGACTGTCCTCTTCGCCAACGGCAACATCTTACAACACGAGGATATCGCAGCGTGTCTAGAGGCAACAGGCGCAGATGGAGTCATGAGCGCAGAAGGAAACTTGTACGATCCGACCATCTTTGCGCCACCACCGCCCGTAGGCCAGAAAGGGCGTGAATACTGGAGGGGTCGAGACGGCAAGGGTGGATACAGAGTGGATGCCGTCATGAGGCGGTACATGGACATTATCCACAAATATGCGCTGGGCCAAGAGCCTCCGCAGAGGAAACCACTATGGATGCCTGGAGATGCCGAGTCGCCACCTGAAGAAGAAGAGGCCAAGCCTGACGACGACGACGAAGACGGCCCACCCAAGAAGAAGAGAAAGCAAATGTCCAAATCCGAGAAGAAGAAGGAAGCAACCAATCCAAACCTGACCGCCATGCAAGCACATCTCTTCCATCTCCTACGGCCGCTCGTTGCAGAGCATCACAACGTGCGCGATGCGCTTGCACGTTCCCGAACAGGCGACATTGACGCATTTGAGAACGTCCTCAGCATGGTCGAGCAAGTCGTCAAGCAAGGCATTCAGGCGTACGAGCAGGAGCCTGCCAACACAGCTCCCGAGCCCGAGTCCACCACTGACGCCGCTTCAACTCTCCCCGAACCCCTCGACCCGTACGAGTCCTCGCTCGCGACCGTCGCCCGCTGCAAACGCCCATACTGGGTCTGCCAGCCCTACGTGCGGCCCCTGCCCAAAGAGGCCCTCGAAAAAGGCAGCATGACTGTCAGCAAGAAGGAGAAGAAGCGCCTGGAGATGCAAGCAGAACAAGCCACTCAGAATGAAGATGCTACGGCCAAAGCAGTGGGGTTGGAACCTGCCGGCACCGTGGAAAAACAGGTCTTGCTAGGGGAAAAGGGCGAGGTCAAGGATGTAGTTGAGGAGCCGAGGGATGGCTTGGTGTGTGGATAGTTGGAAGATATACCCCATATTGTGTTTGAGGGAGATGTAGATATGCATACTAGTAAGGATAGTAAGACGATTATAGGTTGTTATACCAGATCAAGACCAAGTCAGACCCAACCATTTCAATCACTGCTGCCCTAGCGCTCCCCACGGTAAGATGCCGATGCCGACACAGGAGCAGCCACGGCTTCACAGTCTCCCTTTGCACTCCACGATTCCTTTGGATCCGCCAAGGGAATCTCATCCGAATGGTCGACCGGTCCCGTCGAACCCGTGTGAGTCTGCGACAGGCCTTCCGGCCACTTCAGATTCCCCTGTGTCGCCGTGAAATGCTCCGTCTTACCAGCGCTGACAACAAACGTCCCGAATATGCCTGTAAACAGCGCTCGCGGAAAGTACCGCGCAATTAGCGGTTTGAACGAGGTCAGGCATGCGCAGATGATGCCTACATCTAGCTCTATGGTCGACCAGAGATTGATTTCGACGAAATCCCATGTTGGGTCTTTGGTTTGCAGGCCTTTGGAGAAGGTTGTGATTTTGATGATGGCGATGATGCATGTGCTGTGAAATTATCAGCATGGAGTAATCATGAATGAATGAATGAATGGGGGGGGAAGGGGGGCTTGAAAGTGGGAATTGACTTACCACGACCCCAGCAAAAAGATAGCAGCAACACTCCACTTCTGCTTGGTCGGCAAATGCAGGTGTGCGACCAGCGGAATCGGGCTTGCGAAAATAGCCAGATCCGTTGCCAGATTCAGGGCCGCAGTCGTGGAATACACGGGCTTTTGCGGCAGGCATTTGCCGCCTGGGATGGACCAGTCCCAGAAAAAGGCAACGGGACTGCACGAGAAGATTGTTGCGAAGACACCTAGCAGCGCCTGGATAACGACAATGACGCCTACAAAGGCCCACCAGATGCGGAGCCGCGTGTGCTGGAAGACGCGCGAGTATTGGAAGAGAAAGGACAGCTTGGTCAGCATGATGCTGATGGCGTAGACTTGGATCACGGCGTACAGCAGCTGAGCTGTAGGATTAGAAGAGTGTACGCTGATTGTTTCTAGGAAATTGAGCGCCGACCTTTGCATTTGTCTTCATATTCCCGGGTGTAACAGTCCAGATGTGTTTGCCCAGTGCAATGCTAGCCTCTGAATGCCACATTTGTATCAGGTTACTGCATTAAGCACGGAGAATGCGCAAGGAGAAGAGCAACATACGCGCCACGGAAATGCCAGTGTTTGCAATTGCAAAGACCTGACACACGAGAGAATTAACGCCACGCGAAATATATCATGGTAAAGAGAAGGGGGACAACAAGGCGGGACTTACCATTGCAGCGGCAATGCAGTAGTCTTCGGCCCCGGTGCTGCGGAGCAAACAGAGTCGAGTGTATATGCGGAGGAGAAACGTGATGAATGTGATGAGTATGATGATTGCAAGGGCGATGATCAGCTTGGTGCTTTGGCTTTCGTGTGCTTGGGGGCTGGTGGGATCCATGATTTTACAGCGTCTGTTTGCACACCAGCGAGCGAAATGAAGAAAATCTTTTGTAGTCAGTTTACTTTTATCAAGTTGATGTACGTGGATTTTATGGTGTTTGTATTGTATTTGCTTTTTTTTCTCTCCCCAGATGGTGGGAAATCCTGAATTCGCAAACAGGTTGCTAAGTTAAAGAAGAAAGAAAAAAAAACGTCCAAGCTGCCAAGAACAGAGCTGAGGCTTCGCGAGCTGAGTCAAGCAAAGGATTCCTCCTACCTACGCCGCGATCTGCGGTGCCAGGGCAAGCGGGGATATCGTTATGCCCAATTTGGGGTGGTTACCTACATGGTGGTCGTTCCGAAATCGTGTTTTTGCCTTTGCCTAGTACTCACTCAAGGCTGGACCAGATCCAGATGTTCCCCTTCAAAAAAAAGTAATTTCTAACCAATTACAATGCCTATTCTTGGAGTTCTTAGTATCGCTACATACATAGAGCGCAGATCTAGAAGATGCTTGTGCTAGAACTTCTTGTTGGCGTAGAACCTCTTTGCCCACCTGCCTTCCCCCCTCCCCCCTTTATTAGCAGGGCAGAATGCGAGTCCGAACACCGCGTGTATGTAGAAACAACTGCAGATCTGCATGGCGTTACTCTCCAAATCCCATGCGGAAGTTGCCTAACCCCCGAAACTTCGTATCTGTATGCTTCAGGGGTCAAGTGGGTGGCCCCAAAAACCTTCGTATCTCGCATTTACCCCCCTCATCCAGACGAAAATCGAACAGGCGCTAGACCCCACCCCAAATCCAGAACAAGAATTACTGTCATGTTTCTTTTTACTGAGATGTAGTTCGTTTCTTCTGAAACATTCTCTTTCTCTTCCTGTTTGCGTGCAGTGTTAAAGGTCGCGATTCGAGCTAACCAAGCCTCTACTTCAGCATCGCCATCGATCAGGCCAATAAGGAGCACAGGCTGTAACTTTGATAGTTGCGCCACCACTAAAGTCAGTCTTCTGCTTGTTGGGGCACTTTAGAGTTTGCAGGGAACGCGGATGTGTTGTACCTGTGCCGGAGGAGCGCTGGAAGCTATTGCGGCTGAGGCTGATTGCCGAATGGAATGGCCTTTATTGACGGACCTGACTCGGGGAACTTGGGGAGATCAGCAATCTGAGAAAACGCACACATTCGCTTGCATATGCGGGGAGATGCTTTATAAATACTGGCTGTCTGCACACTTTGCTAATAGACAATTTCCTTCCAAAGTCGCTTCTTTCCAAGTTTTGTGTGGTGTGGGAATACAGAATAAGAAAGAGGAAGATAAAGAGGGGATGAAGATGTAGTTTCACATTCAAGGGATAGAGTTGGGGGATTTAAGTCGGAGATAGTGGGAGTGGAAGTGAGGAAGGGCTAAAGTGTGTGATAGGATATACTCGGGAACGGGGGCTGTTCAGGCAGAGGTGGTCTCGAAGATAATGTATATCTATGTAATTCTATGGCCAAAATTGTTATTCCTCACCAGTTTAATGATTGAACACCCTACCACAAACCTCACCCCAACAACTCATCCACTCTCGCCAGATACACCTTCCCAACCCCCCACCTCGCCGCAAACCACTCCACAAGCCTTCGGAAAGCCCTTGCCTCCTCCCTCCCCGCCAGCACCTCCTCATCCACGTAGTCTCGCGTCTCCAGCACCACCACCCCAGCCCGCACCACGCAGCACAACCCTGCAAACGGCAGCTCTGCGATTTCGGCGGCTGAATTGATAACCTGGATGCCTACGCGCACCATGTCCCATGCCATGCGGCGTGAGATGCGTAGGGCGAGGAGGGGCTTTGCGATATCGACGACGGGGTCGTGAGTAGAAGTAGGAGTGGTGGCGGTACGAAGGAATCTAGTCTGTACAGCCTGCAGCAAAACATGCGCACAGAATGCAAGGGCAATGGAGTCGCAGTGCAGCCAGGTATGAGGCTGGGGTTTATCAATCAGCATGTTGATGCATTTGTTGATTTTGTCGTCGGCTGTGGCGTATGAGGCTGGTATTGCCGCCGCTGCCGCTGTTGGGACAGCCTTTCCCTGCGTCAGCGCGTGCGTGTAGGATAGCACGTGGCTGGCGGCTATGGCGACCGAGGCGCGGATGTGTATTTTTCGTGGGCAAGTGGCGTCAACGGTGGGGGGTGGTGGGGGAATGTTTGGGCCGAGGGTTTGCGCGAGGGTCACGCTGAAGGCGGAGCTGGATGGGATGCTAACCGGGAAGCCTGGGGTGAGATGAGATATGGCTAGCGTGTTGTCGAGCATGAGGATGCTTGCTTGGAGCCATGAGAGCGTTTTTGATAGGCTGGTGTGTGTGGTGGTGCGGGGGTCGAGGCTCAGGAGTTGGAAGATGGATACGCATGTCGACATGGTTTGGAAAGCTTGCTGAGACATGCCATGGCCGACTTCGTAGACTGTCAGTAGCAAGGCTAGCTGGAGTGCGTCCAGGCCGACTGGCGCTTCGCATTGGTATAGTGCTAGGATCTGCTTTAGCGCCCGGTAGAGCTGACTTTGGGTAATGTGTTCCCGCTGCGGACAGGTCCGTCGAGTGACAAGCCACAGGCCCAATAGCAGCAACGGGTGCCGTAGCCCGTCTCTCCCGTGCACTTGATACGCTAGATCATCCACACCCCCGCGGAGGAACGACGTCGGGACAATAGGACACCACTGCTGTATGCAGGGACCGAATTCCTCCAACGCAAGGGCTATGTCGACATCAGCGAGATCCAGAATATCGTACACGACCTGGGAAAGCCTAAACCCTTTTCCTGACACACCAGCATCTACCCATGCTGATGCCGCGTCAAGTAATTCGCTGGCCCCATGCTGCGTCATGTCCGCATGCAGACAGGTGTCGTGGTGCTGCACCAGTGGCATGGCATCCCCATATTCCTGGCGCATAGGCTCCTTGAAAGGCCGATAGTCGCAATTTCTTTCTTTCCTACCAATACTCAGCTCTTCCATTCATATATACCAGTACCAGTTGCGGGAAGGGTCCTACATACGTGGCGCATCTTTGACACCGTGGCAGCGTACGATCGCACCCTTGTTTCCTGACTCGACAGTAGGCACATACATTTGGTGCTTTTTGCGTTACGGGTATTAAACCTGCGATTATACTCATCCTTCACTTTTCTTTTGTGATTAGATGCACGGTTCGACGAGCTGGAACCGGGGCGGTTAGATTGCTAGGATTAAGGTGAGGAGAGGCAGCGGCCGATGCAGCTTTGCGCCTACATCCTGCTAGATGTGTGTTGAGTAATCAGCAAGTGGGTACGATAGTTAGATCGGGGCCTGACGTACATGTAGGTGGTTGAGAAGGGGTTGAACAAGACGGCGCCATTGTTCGCTTACACACCCCGCTCTCTTCGTGTTCAAAAGCGAACTCGAGTTCACGTGGTTCAGAGCCCGATTTCTGACCGCCTAGTTTCAGGAAACCAGGTCGTGCATGTCCAAGTAGCTCTGTACCAAATCCTCTAGCGATGCATACGGAACCCGTTTGGACTTTTGCATATAGAGCTTTTATCGATTGTTATTCGTGCGAAAAAGGTAGAATTCATAGCCCAGCGTCTTGCCGCGAAACCACGGGTACGTGTGAGCGACATGGGTTGAGGAATGCCCTCCACATGACGTCTGCCTGTCCATCTGGGGTTTTCGGGCCATGGACGAGGACAGAGCACAAGGTCGAGGATGAAATGAAGCACGCAGCTTGTATTTTCGTGTGGATATGTAAAATGGACGTCTGTAAGACTCGAGAAACGACTAGAGATGAAGCAGTCATGGTAAAACGGAAGGCAAAGGCTATAGTGGGGGTGGCAAACGCGCACAAAGGTGCCAAGCCAGCCCCGCAGACCGGTGCATGTCACGTGCATTGTCACGTGCATTGTCACGTGCACCCGCTATCATCTCGTCATCGTTGCCCTATACCTCGTTGCCCTACACCTACTGTATCGACTTAAATCTTCAGCCGCATCTTCAAAAAGTCCTTCTTCATAATCTCCTCCTTCTTTGCGCTCAGCTCCTCCAAATCCCAACAAGCACTAACATATCTTCCGCCGAGCCACTCTCTCCTCTCCGCCCCCAGCCACAGCAGAGTGTGACCCGCCAACGCAGGCGTATCAATCAGATGCGTATGCATATACTCGGGAAGCCCCAGCCCCATATCCGTCGGGATAGCTCCCGGATGCACAGCAACAGCAACAATACCGTCTTTGCCCTCTCCATGGTCTTGATTAATAAACTCGGTAACGCGGATCATGGCCATCTTTGAAGTTCCATACGCGTTGTTGTGCGGCAGTGTTGTTATCCCGCCCACGGAGACGACGTTGATGACGATTTTGAGCGACGACTTCAAGAGCAGGGGGTAGAAAGCACGGAAAACGAGGTAGGGTCCCTTGAGATTGACTTCGAACATGCGCCACCACTCGCTGGGGGTGCTCTCGGGGATGGGCTTGAGAGTGCTGAGGTACCCCGCGTTGTTAATCAGGATGTCGATGCGCCCGTCAAAGTCCTTGGAGACCTGATTGGCTGCGGCTTCGACACTCTCCTCGCTGGTGACATCGAGACTCAACGTCGTGATTCGCGGCGCGGGATGGCCGGCGCTTTTGGCTGCTTCTACAACTTCCTGGGCTACGGACTCGAGCGACGATCGCGCACCCAGGGCGATGCTGGAGGCTCCGGCCTGCGCATAGCTCAGCGCTGTTGCTTTTCCCAGGCCTTTTGATGCTCCCGTGATAAACACATGCTTTCCTTTCAAATTGAAGTTTTTCGGGTCGATGTAAGGATATGTATCGTGGCGTTTGGTGGATACAAAGTGTTCGGCTAACGCGACTCAGAATATTCCTTTACGAGGCTGCCCCACTTGACTTACCACTGGTTGTGCGCGCAGTGCTGAAGCCGTCTGCCATGTTGATGCTTGTTGTCCTTTTACGATCGATTCAGTGGTTTCAGATCGTGAATCTAAGCCGTCGAGATGAATATTGTGCGAGGTATGTTACGGGGGGACACACCGCCAGAGCTAGCCATCGGTACACACAAGTATGCGGGGTTATTTATATGCACAGCATGCATCCAAGGGCGCAGCGTTCTGCTTGGCAATCAAAGTCACAAAGTGAAAGTTTCGCGTGGCTGTACTCGCCTAACTCCGATAATGAGGCAATAAATTTACTAGCTTATCTCCGACCGAAACTCTACTTGTTGAGCGCCAGGATCCTCTCTACAGCCCTCTCAGCAGTAATCATGACGCCCATGACCGGGTTGGTCGTGAGAGGGGGCACGATACTAGCATCGACTACAAACAGGTTCTGCATTCCAATCACCTTGGTGTCCACGTCCACACACGCCTCCATTCGGCAGCTGCTGCTCCAGTGCTGCACGTTACCCAGCGTGTACTGGCTGGGAGTCTTCAGCCAGGTCTCAATCTCGTCCAGTGTCGAGTTCTTCGCAATGTTCAGCGGCGTCAGGCTTGCGGGCATGGCTTGGAAGATGTTGTGGACAAAGGTCGCGATCGCGGAGACGTCACGTGGGTCGGCGAAGAAGTTGGACGATGGCAGAGCAATGCCATTTGCATCGAGACTGACCCGTCCGAAAGAGCGAAGACCCGATGTACCGTACACGTTGAGGGTAATGGTGCCGTTGTTGCTCGCATAGTCAAAGGCGCCGGAAGAGTCGATCGTTCCCTGGCAACCCACAACATCCTCGCCTTGCTGGATGTAGTCCCAGAAGGCACTCGTTTGCGAAGCAAAGCTGTATGGACCAGAGCGGTGCTTCAGGTACATGTCGGCAGCAGTGGCCGGCGGGTTAGAGTATTGGTAGGTGTAGGATTGGATAGAATCGGCATGGAGCTCAATAAAGGTGTTTGGGTTGTCAAACACCTTGTCGCCAACCGCCGTGTTGTTGATCCAGTCCTGGGACGGCACGGTGACGTGTCCGTTCTGTGCGAGAGCCTCCAGAAGGGTCGCATTTCCGATACCAGACCACATGAGAAGCTGGGGGCTCAGAAGCGCGCCTGCTGAGGAGATGACCATGCCGCCCTTCTTGATGCAGATGCTCTGTGTGCCTGTGGCACCGCTCGTCTCAACATCGACACCAGTTGCAACTCCGCCGTCACGCTGCACGCGCAGGACCTTGGTTCCGGTCTTGAAGGAAAAGTTTGTCCGCTGCAAAGCGCGCTGGAGATATGTCTTGACCGGTCCGCTCCTCTGGCCTCCCTCGTAGTTCCAGATGGGATGGCCAAACACCTTGGTCTTGGAGTGGTTCGTGGGGCCGTCGTTGAGACCGACGTTGGCGTACCCGGCACCATCGACAAGCCACTCCTTTGCGGCATCGTAGCCGGTTTGCAGGTACCGTTTTCCGTCCATGGAGGGGTTGTCAGTGCTTGGCTGCGTCGTCCTCACATTTTGGATTGCAGATTGCATGTCGCTGTTCTTCCAGCCCGGAGGGAAATACCGGTCCCAGTCGCTGGCTGGCGGCTGGAAAAAGAGGCCGGCATTGATTGCCGTATTACCGCCCACGGTGCAGCCTTGGAAGGCATTGACAATGCCGGATCCGCATAGCAAGCCCTCTCCGGGAGTCGAAAAGATGGACTTGTAGAGGCCGGGAACGTCGACGCGGCTGAGCTCTGTGCCGTTTAACCAGTCTGGCCGCATACGTCCTCCGGTAATGTAGTACGACGGGCCTCCCTGCTCAAGGAGAAGTGTCTTCTTTCCAGCTTCGCTCATGCGGTCCGCAGTGACGATACCGGCTGGTCCGGAGCCTCCAGGTTGTTAGCTGTTGTCTGACGTTGGGATTATTCACACTCACCAACAACGATAACATCCCACTCGCCATCCGTACATTGCTGAGCCCTGGCGTATCCTGTCAGGACAGCGGCGGCAGCCAAGGCCTTGAAAGTCTGCGTAGCGACCATTATGATTACTGAATCAAAGATGACTACGCTGCGGTCGTGAAGCTGAGGATCAAGCCACCCGCACGCCGGACGCCTCCTTTAAGGAGTTCATGCCACCCGCTAATTTACACGCTTGTCCAGCGATGGGCCAGTGGTACCCGGCACGGCGAAGGCTTGTACCACAATTGCGGGCAGGTTTACAAGACGAGGCTCGATGCCGACACCACTGAATACGAAGAGCAACGATACCATGCCGCTTTTTGCGAAAAGGCCCGTGCCATGTGCTTATTTTTACCTCAGGCTGCGGGCACCTTTCCACTCTACCCGTAGAGCCGGTTGCATGGATCGCCTGCAGGCTGTCATCTAGGCGGGCTCTTGACTCGTTCCGCCCTAGCTGGACAGCCAACGACGTAGTGGATTGAGAAATTCGTGGTGGCGACGCAATGGGACCATGCCGTCATGACGGAGCATGACTAAACTTCACATGCACCACGCTGGCCCCCATGTGCTACAGTACCCGGCCATCACCTTTCAGCTACTTGTAGATACCCGAGGCTGAGTCGAGGGAAAAACCAGATTAGGCTCTTGCATAAGGGGGGTACAGGTGTGTTTCGCAGCTCCGTGCACCGTGTTGATGCAATTTTTCCGAGTGGCCCGTCCGGAAGCATGCACCAGAAGGTTTAGATCTGACCTTGATTTGTGGTTCTCCATATAATACGGGTCATTATTAGTAATATGCACCGAGTATGTATACTCTGACAACCCCCAGCCACGCCTCCAGCCCGTCAGCTGTGAAAAAGCAATGTATACAGCTGTAGCAAATGCTACAACAGGCATCGCATTCTAAACGAACAGCCCAGGACCCTACTGAGACAGCATCACCCTTGCACGCCTGTTACTTGGCCGTGCACTATGCTAGTCAAGCGGTACACGTGCTTAAGTCAGCATTAAAGCCCAATCTTGGACGATCGCAACTTAAAGCCACTGTCTGGTAGTGTGTGCATAGTGGCTAGAGCCACCGCAGGCAGACAGTCCCTCTACTACGTATATTACAACACATATAATTTGCTGCTTCGTGTTCGATGTGTGTCGCAGCGTTACATTGCATTTGAGCAAATCACAACATGTAATATCGGACAAAGCTCTCGTCGGCCAAGTGCCAGGAAGACCCATGCCTGCACTACTTTTAGTAGTGTAGCCCCTTTCTCGTACCTACACATGTCGCAAAACAGGCCAATAGGTCCTTCTTTAGGAACTAGTATCGTAATACCGCGTCATACCTGTACTTGTTTTACCTATTACCCTCGCCTATCGACGATGATCAAATCTCCGCAAATGCGCCTGGCTTCTGCGCTGTTTCTTGAGCAACTGGAGCGGCCGCAACTGAGCTGTGGCTTTACAGCTACCTCCCTTTTTCAAAGGTGACGCAGCAGCCCGTAAACGGCGAAATTTATGTACGTACGTTTTTTTTTGTGTACTATGAAGCCCAGACGCTGACATCTAGTCGCCAGTCGAAGCGAGTGCTGCAAGGGTTGATAGTGCATTTTCAGGCTTACAGACCCACACATAAATGCTTCGGCGTGAAATACTACGCAATGCAGAGTCTCCACTGGAAGAAAAAAAAATCATAGTTCGGCATGGTTGTATCACGTGGACGCTTCTATGTATAGCAAGACTCTCTATTTTCTTTTCTCCAGTCAACCCGCCAATCCCATGGAGACAAAGAGAAAGAAAAAAAGGAACTATACCCGCAAAAGCCCGGTACGGGTCCCCTAAGTCCATAAGTAGCGGAGTTGCCGTTCTCCTAACATTTACCCGGCAGAGCGGTTACTCCTCGATTGTTTCGTTTTACGCGTGATTTTGACATGTTAAAGCAGCGGGTTTCCTTATGCAATACAGTCCGATTGTATGCAGTAGCTCGGTGAGCTAGCGGGCCATGGCCTGCATGTGGGTTTGTGTGGAGTGTAGAGTCTGGCCTCTCTCACTTACCAAGACAGGTCTCTAGCTATCTGGCTGGTCTGCACACTATTATGCACATATACGAAACTTTGCGGATCTACCTGCCGGAAAAGAAAACATGGTACAGCTGGAGAGCGGGAACTAGCAGAGTGTGGTATAGGCAGTGATTGTAGGCCGGAAGTTTGGCGGACTATTAGCTGTTTCTTGCCAGGCTTCGTCTCTGGAGTTACCGCGTTAGGTTGACAGCGAAGCAGTATGCAAGGCAGTAGATTGTACATAGTGTGTTCAACAATAAACGCCGGAATATTGCAGGAATGAAACTCGTACATGTTCGTGGCTATGTATATCTATTAGACTTATTCAAGTCATATGTACATCAAGGCTTTATAATTAGTCTCGTCTAATCATCGGACTTTGGTCCCAATCCTACTCCGCGCTTCCTTGCTTTGACAACAGCGCATAGACACCTTCCGACAGCCTCCAAGTCACCCAGCAGAGTGACGTGTCCTCGGTCACTCGAAACCACTCCTCCTTTGACCACGCTGTAACCCGTAGGGACCATGGCTGCACGTGCTAATACCACGCCGTCCCCACTCGCAAACGCAAGCTCGTCGTACACGTCTGCACGCTTGATGGCCTCTTTGCTCTCTACTTTTGCACCATACACGGTGGGAATGGACTTTCCGTATATCAGAGCAATGGGCGGATATACGTTCGCAGCAGCGTGTTCGGGCCGATGGTCAAGTTCTTGTTTGAAGGCTTTGACTTCCGCCAACGTGCGTGTGAGGTATTCAATGGCCTTGTCATAAGGGATTGTAACATGGGTGGCAGGGTTGGGCTCTTTCGATGTTTCTACGCCATACTCATGCCCCATTTGCGGGCCCATGCCTGCTTGCTCGGCGCCGCCTTCTGTAATGTTGTTCGCAGCGTTGCGTGCGAGCTCGGCTGGATCCTTTGTAGAACTGTTTTTCCGGGCGGGGAATGTCGGCAGTGCGTTTGTAACGGCACTCATTAGTCCATTAATGCTAAAGGTGTTGTCCTTTGGTAGCTCAGGGCGGGGAAGGGGCGCCGCTATGCAAGGGGATAGGCGGCATTCTTTCCAGGTGTTGACGTCGAAGAAATCCACGGGATATTCCTCTTTGGTGTACTTGTTGATAAAACACTTTCCATCGAGGGGTAGCAGCGCGAAAGAAGTACGGATGGTAAAGTTTACTTGGGCAGTCAAGACGCGCGAGGACAAGAGGACGTCGTCGCCGTTGCGGAAAGGCCCGAGAATATTGACGCACCGCTGCGGTACACCAGCATATACGACGCCAGCGACAAGGTCTGGACGCTGGTTGATGGCATGGCGGACAATCAGGCCGCCTAGCGAATGTGCAATGACTGTAGCGCCACGCTTCTCCCGAGGCACGCCTGGCTGGTTGCAGGGCAACGATTCCAGAAACTGTATCAACCGCCGACTCAGGAAATGCGGTGAGAGCCGCCAATCGTACCCATAGTTGTGCACTCTCAGCTTTCCTTCTCTGGCATTGTCGCTCGCCCTCAATCGCTTGAAAAGACGCTTTGCAATGTCGACAGGGCCAATGTGGGTCAGCATGCCGCTTGGGATAATGGTCTCCTCCATCCGTTCGTCGGCATCGGGGTCAAGGGGTACCTCAAGATCGACTTTCCGCAGATTCAACCCAACCTTGATGGGTACCCACAGCTGACGATGAGGAGGCTCCGCAGAGCGCAAGATGGAGCCGCGGTACCCTCCCATTATCACCAGATCGCCCTCAAGCTCCTGCAAGGCCCTTGCAAAATTAGGATGGGTTTCGGGGTCGATTTCACCGTTAACGGGCAGCGATCGTTTTCTTCCCTTGGAGTCGCGATGCGTTGTCCCAGAACTGTTTCCGCGAACCGTCGCTCGACGCACAGGGCCCTCTTCGACATCGCGTGTCTTGGATATGGTGCTGGAGTTACAGCTCCGAAACAACTCGGTACTTGAGGCCAGGTCAAACTTGGGGAACGAAGGGCTGGGAAGTTTGAAATTCGAGTCTTGCCAGGTGTCCCTGAGGGCCTTGAGCCTACTGTTTACCTGCTCGTGCACACTCTCGAAGCGCGAATCATCGCCCAGGGAAGACGCAAGGGATCTCGTGCGGTACAAGAGCAAAGACGCTTCTGAATTGGACCGGCGCAGTCTGGGTTGCGGTCGTTCGCCTTGTCCCTGGTCTGGTGGTGGAGGGGCGAGTGTAGAGGTGCTGCTGTCGCTAAACTCGCGCTGTGCAATCGGATCCGTGTTGGCCTGCGGCGAGGCGGCTGGATCATCCCTTGATGTGCTCGTAGACTCTTCAGACTTGGCCTCATGGCTGCCATCGTGTTGGGGTATATTCTGGGGTCGCGGAAGATTGGAGACGGTGTCCCGCCTCCGTCGATTGAAAGGCTTCGGCGCAGTCTCCAGGGATGCCGACGAAAAGGTCGGTAGCGAAAAGTGGAGGTCTTTGTAGGACTTGGGGAGGGAGGTCGGCAGGTTGAAGGGTATGTATTTGCGCATCGTCTCGCTCATGGAGCCGCCGGAAGATGACCGCCTTCGTCCATTCTGTAGGTGTTGACGCAGCATGGAGCGATGGTCGCTCTGCTTCTCTTTCTGAAACGTCTTCGGGCCAGCTCGCCATGGTGAAGGAAGGCGCAGTGACGGGTCGGCGCGTCGCTCATGCTCGTCGTTGCTCGCCGTCTGGGCACGTTTTGGTCGGATATCGGGTTTCGGGTCGTCTTTTCGAGGCGTTGCCAGTGGTTCTGGCGACGCTGGCTTTCGCTCGGGCGAAGCTTCGGCAGCTTCCTGCCAGCCCTCGAAAAAGGCCCCGTCTTCAGTCGCGTCGAGGGCGGCAGCTTTCTCCGCAGCCGGTGTCTTTGGCGACGTGAGACGTGTCTGCTGTCGTCCTATGCTGACGCCTATGGCCGATTGCGCAGTCTCCAGCTCTAGGACCCGCTCTTCCGCTGTCTCGTCCTCGGACGGTGTGAGGTCATCGTCGATGATGGAGGCGAATTGGAGCTCGGCGAGAGCATTTTGGCGGCGGGTGGAGATGCTAGGCGTGTCTGTCGCTGGTTCTGCCATGGCCGTGTGGAGAGTGGACATTTTCATGGGCTGCAAGGATGGCGACAGAGTCAAGATGTCATGACTCTGGTCCTCTAGCCATGTGTTGTGTGGCAGTGTCAGCTATCCGCCCGCTGCCGAACAGCAGCGGAGATTGGGGCCTCCATCCGGACGAATTGGCATACCTAGAATCCTGAGATCACTCGACGGCAGAAGAGGCAGCGGTCCCTGGTGTGTTTGCCAAAGGTGCAATGACGGCAAGCGTGCCGTTCTTCAGCTGGCAAGGCCCAGCGTCGCATAAGAGCGTGCCATGCCGTAGATCGCGTCAGCCCAGCCACAAGCCACACGTGCCGCCTGCGCCACACGCCGGGTTAGTCAGCCGCATCGCGCGTAATCGGCCTCTGCTGAGTGGCCCACCCCGCCAGCACGACGTCGAGATTGTCCGGAGTGGCTCCACAGCATCTCCAGGATCCGGAAAACCCCTCACCCGGGGGCTTACTCGCCTACAGCCCTGGATACCGATAATCGCACGTCTCGACAACTGCCTGCTGTCGTTCACGAGAAACCTAGGTCTGTAGCGCGGGTGAGAGCTTGTGACGCGGTATACGATATCGATGGACTGATCCGGCTGTCAGCATACTCAGTTGCCGTCGTGCACGCTCGACTTCTCCGGGACCACGCGATGACTTACTCGAAAGACCCTTTGTCTCTGCCCGACGACAGCATGGCAACGCCATGGTGTCTTGGCCTGTATCCACTTTCACAAGATACATCTGCCACATCCACTTTTTTACACATACATGCACATTCAGAGGAGACGGTGTCGTCTAAGATGCTATTTGGGGCAGTTTGATTCCGACTTCATCTGCGGCTCCGGACCTTTCCGTTACTGCATAGAAACTAGCCTCGGGTGTCACGCATCTCAGGAACCAGTCAGCCGATCTTCATCAGACCACTACTCAGACATGAAGGCTAATGGTCACTGGTGGTCCCTCATGGCCAATCCAGGAAATAATTTCATCATGTGGGGCACCTCGGCCTTGGAAATCGTCATCGCGACCAAGGCATTCTCGTGTCCAGCCGAGTATTCGCCGTCTGACCGACGACAAGCGAAGCACCAACCTCTCACCGTTGCACAATGCCGAACTTGATATGCTGATAGTTTTTCCGGGCAGACGCATGAGTAGGGATACATTTCCTATAAGGTGGAGACTAAGTGAAGAATGTGCTCTGGTTTTGCAGTGCACGGATTGACGTTGAACTTTGAGCTGAACGCAAACATATCTAAATAGGACTGACCCTCAGCGACAATTTCTCATCGCCACCAGCACATCTCAATTCACCTCTAATACACCTTTCAAGTCTTATCACGGTTCAGAAACAGCCATGTCTTCTCTCGTAGTTCTACCTGCACCACTGCCATCAACGGCCATCACTTTGGGCCAGCTCATTACCGACCCCATCTCAAACACATCTGCATCTCTAAAGCCCTCAAAAGCGCCATCCTCCAAGCATACAACTCAGTCAAAGCACCAAGATACCATCGCCTATGACGAAGATGGTCGCTTCACATCAACACGATTCCTCTCAAATCTCAGCAGAGAAGCACCCGAGACCACCTCGAACATTCTCAATTTGAATGCGGAGCAAATGACACACTCCGCCCTCGACCGACCAACCACCTTCTTCAACCAACTCCGCCGCGACAGAACCACTCGCTCTTTTCTCCGTAAGATGACGCAACACCAAACCCCAGTCTACTTCGTCACTGGCCTCCAGACCGTGCGGAAGCCCATCTTCGAACGCGACAGTGCGGGGCAAGACTCCACCGAGACGGCTCCGGACTCCCCACATCTCCGCTTGCCCGTGAGGCGGGTAGACTCGGCTTCCAATATGGCTTTGCAAGATGGCTCTGAGCATGACGAGTATATTCTTGCGGTGGAACTGCTCAAAATCAAGTGTCGTGTCGGTGCAAGCAACGAGCCACACACCATCTCGGATATCGAGTACTCGTGGAGTTACCACGGGCTGCAGGATGAGAGTGAAAAGGAAGAGCAGCTTTCCATTGGGCTGGGGAAGCCCTTGGAGGCCAAGGAGCTCAAGGCCCTAGCTGGGATGCCGCTGAATGAGGATGCTGCTGGCGAGAGGTGGGCTGAGAGTAGTGAGTACTCGGACGAGGATGGTATTGGGGGATTCTAAACCTGTCATCCCTGATCTTCAATTGATGAGATGTCTTTTTTCTTTCTTCTTGTTAGGATAGGAGCAGGTGTTCTTTGGGGCTGGATGGGAAAAAGTATTGGGGAGGCTATTAGCAGGTTGCATAGCTGGCATGGTATATGGTGTTTTGATTTCTTGTGGAGATAACTTGATGGGATTGATATGTTCTTCAATCCACGATAATGAAACCGCTTCAACGATTTCTATTTTGACGTGCTAAAGTAAGAATGATAATCTATCAGGAGATCAAATCCGCTCGCATGAGGAACAAAGTGTTGAAGACTTTCCGTCCGGTTGATGAGCACTGGATATTGCAGATGGATCATAAAGGATGGAGTAGGAAGAATGGATGGAGCACTTCTTCAATTACATCACATTTTTGTCAATGTATCATAAGTCAGAGATACCCACTTCACTTCTAGAAAAGAAATTACAAAAATATTCCATTCTCATGGGCCAGCATTAAACTGTAGATATAAAATTGCATCCATGTTTCCCTGTCTTATCCCATTTACAGCACTTCGTCTTCTCACAAAATTCTGCAGTGCCACATTCAGCAGGTTGCTCCCACGTAGCCTAAGAAAGGGGATATTCTTTTTTGAGACATCCAAAGTCTGCAGAATCTTGATTGACGACCAGGGGAGGCCCGAGCAAGGCAACCACCATTTTGTGATCTACAGGAGGGCAGGTAGATGAAATCATCATATCCTGGGGTTCCACCAAGCTCTTTTGCAACACTGACCGGCGTAGCGCAGCGTGTGAATCGCTGCGCAACAACATTTGCGGAAAGACAACGCATAAATCGTCATGCACAGAGGCTCTCCAACCCGGGTATATGGAAAGCAATAGATGTTGGTGTCGTAGGGATCAGATTGTCGGGAATACGGGTGCCAGGTCGAGATGGTCCGACTTTGTTTTGGCTGGATGTAGCCGCCCCCTTTCTCCCGGTCGTCAGCATGATTGCTCCGCGGAGAGTTTTTGCCTTTGCAGAGGCGTTTGTCATTCTCCAACGCTGGTTGCCCTAGGCCGAACAATGGCTTCGGAAGACTAACCTGCATGGACGCGCAATGACCCAGGACGCGCAATGACCCAGGACGCGCAATGACCCAGGACGCGCAATGACCCACCCCACCAAACTCAACACCTACACAAAATACCTCATAACTCCACTAATATAGACTTAATTCAGGAAGCGATTGAAGAAATCAAATCGCGCGAACTAGGCGCATCTTTTAGCTATCGCCAAGTTGCAAAAAGGTTTGGTATTAGCTATCGTACGCTCGCTCAAAGACACTAAGGCAAAACTCAGCCTCGCGCGCTCGCCCACCTCTCTATCTACCCACAACGCGAAAAGGAGCTTATACAGTACATCGAATCCCTTACTAAGAGGCGTACACCACCTTCGCGTCCAATAATACGCCATCTTGCGTCATCCTTGCTTAGTAGAGACGTTTCAGAACGCTAGGTTTCTAGGTTCCTCTGCAGGAACTCCTCTCATCTCATCTCTCGCTGGCAGAGTCCTATGGACCAAAAGCGTCACAAGGCTAATTCAGCAACCAAGTATAGGTTGTACTTTAAGCTGTTACACAATAAGATAAAGGAGTACAATATACAGCCCTCTCACATCTTCAATATAGATAAAAAGGGCTTCTTACTTAGAATCCTTAGAAGGTCTAAAAGGATCTTTAGTAAGAGGCAATATAAAAGAGGAG